ACCGAGTGAGCCGAGTGATGAGATTTCAATCATATAGATTTCTTCTTCTTCTTCTTTGTCTTTGTTTTAGCTTAATCCGCGTTGGAAAACGACATATATATGATATCAATTCCAAATAGACTCATCTCTAAGCCCTAGTTCTGTCTTTCCCTGATCTCATCTCCTTGCTCGCATCCTTCACCGCGGAGGCGTGTACTATAAAGCCTTACACAAGATTAAAGAGACCAAGCCGTTCGCTCACTCGTGCACATCGCATCGATAATCAAAAGGGAACGATGAGTCCACGGGGATCATCAGATGCCATTGAAATCCGAAGGCCATGTAGCTGCGTCGTCCCTCCGAGAAGGGGATCCATCAAGCAAAGCATCGTCGCTACTGTCATCAGCAGCATTAAATTCATTGCCGATAAGATAAGTCGCCTTCTTCGACGTGACCGCAGAGGACAACCCTAGCCGACACCATCTTACTTCTATTACAAGCAACATACTATGTGCATACCCTTAATTTCCATTTTGATGTATATTATCCTACCCTGTCTTTGCAAGGGGCCGGTAGAAGCATATCTGTCCAATAGTTCGAAAAATTATCGACTGGGCAAATGTTTTGCGAACGAATTTGTAATAGATTGCATATTTTCCCATGGACCCAACAAATTTTGTGCTCAATCCATGTCGATAGTCCTTGGATCCTATGAACTTCTCGTGAGACTCACTTCTTTGGTAAGGGTACGTGTAAATGCAATGGATCGCGAGAACGGGCTCAAAGATAATCTCTCCAACTGTGTATAGCTAAATAGATGGTTCCTGGTGAATATGTGTGAGATTCTTGCACGCAAGATTCAACTTAGTTTGCGCAAGAGGTAATTAGTTTCCACTCTCACATATCTTCCGTAACGATTAACAAAGCAAAGAGAAGATTACGTGGAGTAATCCAACACTAACCATGCTTTGGACTTGGCATGTCCAAGCACATTTTTAAATCGAAGATGTTAATTGATTAGGAGACGGTGCCCATGTCCCCATCGATATATACCCCATATCATAGAAACCTGTTTAGTGTTCGCCCTCTCCTGAGAAAGCTATAGCAAAAAATGTACAGTTTTGGACAATAGTTTTACAGGATAGGGCAACAGAAAAGATTGCTCCCGAAGTGTCACTCCAATAGTACTTGGACATCGTAGGAAGTTGCGTTGCCCACACACCCAAAAGTGGCCGCAACTTGGCCCTGTCTGCTCAAGCCCCCTCTGAATGAAGGTGACACGAAGGTTCCTCCCTCCCTCCACAGTTCTCTGTTTCTCCATGCAGTGACGCTTCATGCATACACATACGCACACACAAAAGAAATAGTAATACCCCAGTGGAAGCAGAAGATGAAGATGGAGGTGGAGAGGCTGAGGCTAGCGGCGGCGACGCAGAGAGCGATGGACGGTGCAAGAATGGTGAGGTTCCCGCCAGTTAGAGGCAGCATCAAGAAGAAGATATTCGCGCTCTTGTATCGACACTTGAAACTCGGAAGCAAATTCGCTCTTCGCTACCTCCTCGAAAGCTGCCACCACAACCGCCGTTAGTATCACACATCCATTTATCTTCTCATCTTGATGCTTAGAAACTTCCGAGAATGTGAAAATTAAGGAACGTCCATCTGCTCTCACCAGTCACAAAGATAGACTCTCAAGGGCATTTTCACATTGTTTTATACCTAATATATATTTGCATAATATATCAATCGAATTACGAGTTTCTAATTATGTTTGTTATCTGAAATCGATGAGCACGACCCAGTAATGTGCATGTAAGAGTTTAGGTGGGAATTAGTCAACTTCGTTCCTGTTGTTTCTTTATTGCCTTTGTTCATGTTTTTGCAAATTGTACTGTGCTTGTTGTGACTTCTTGAGTCGAGAAAACTGATTTAAGAAATGGTGGAGCGAGCAACAAAAATTGGGAGAGTGAAATATGCTCATCACATATCAAGTGGTAGATACAACAAAGGTGATGCCTAGCCTAGCTTGTTTGATGAAAATAAGGTAAGTTGCGGGCATTATCTGTAATCTCAGAATGTGCTATAAATAAACTAAACACTTTGTCCACTTCGGCAACGAAAAATGCTCGATTGAGCTTAGTTTAGGGCCTTTGAGTATTCTTATTCTTTCTTAAACCTCCTCATGCCCCTTTTTTAGCTGAATCCACAGGTCGAAGTCAAATCTTCTCAATGAGATGTTAGTGGTGACAGTACTTCCCTCACACCACCTCATACAAGTTTCTTTCGTCTTATCCTCTATTGACTTGCACCGTTTTTTTCTTTCAATACATACATTTCTAATCGCAACTTTCTTTCCCAATAATGAAAGAATTTGGTTCTAGACAAGGATCAACACATGTGTGCAAAAAATAGGGAAAAGAATCATTTAAAGGAAGCATGTGGTTATTGTTCAGATTCTTTTGGTTGTACTTATTAAAAGAAGAAAGAGAACCTCCTATATATCCCTGCAAATGAAGATATATTTGCCTTGAACACATAAGGCTCTCACCAAGTAAGCAAGACCGGCTGGCTAGGTGAAGATATTAGTCCCCGCTTTCAGAGCTCTGGCTATAGACACCAGCTAAAATTGGGTAGACAACTGCATGAGCTTATGACTAGCTTTGAGGACTTTTTTCTGCTCTAGATGGGAAGAGACTTATTATGAGTAGGTAAAGACCGGCCTGGGTGGCCTAGTAGGTAAGGGATGAGATGCGAAATTCTTGCTTGAACTATGGGAACCCTAGAGCATAACTGGCTATAAAAATGTCTCTCTCCCACCAATCTATCCCGCTCCTTGCTCTCGTAGGAAGAAGCAAGACCCTCGTAAGGAATAGTGAGAATGGCACCTAAAAAGCAATGATGGATTATGGATCTACGATGATCAACAGCTAAAAAGGATGGTTGTACTACTACGCAAGTGCTAGGAATAGACTCAAGTTGCTGCTTCCCTTGGCTCTGTCTCGTTCTGATCTGGGCAAACTGATAACTCAAACTAATCATGCAGTACATGAGATTATAGACTATCCATGATGTGGAAAAAACGAAGAGGAGGAATGCTAGCCAAAGAAATCATCAACGGATGGTGTGGAATCCACCTTCGAAGGCCCTACTGACTCACTGTTTAACACTGCAAATCAAATATGGCAGAAAACACTTAAAGCTCAAGGACAGAGTTGATGCGGACTATATCTGTGTTTACATCACTGTCCTATGAGGGGGCGGCTTTTTAGTTTTTATTGTTAGATGTCCATTCGCTAGGCCAACAGTGGTCCCAGTGTTGTTTGCGGTACCCACGAGCTTGATATCCACTGGAAAAAAAATAAGAAATTTGTTCGCCGGTATCAATCTTGATTGGTTCGAAAATAGAATCAGACCAATTCTATCAGTGGATGAGATGGGTAACCCATCAATTACTCGGGGTCTAGGTTGTAGTATTGAGGGAGGGGGGAAATGACAGATATTTGCTATAGTTGACTATATCAGCCAAAGGTTCTCATGACCATTTCATACTAGTTGGCTGATTTTCTACGTTTACATGCCATTTGGTAGAACATTTGAACAAAGCTGCCGTCTAGATGGATCAGTTGGCAGTAGGATTCGTTATGCCTTAGATTTGCAATAAGCCATGGATAGATGACCATTGGTATTTCTTTTCAAAATTATTAAGTTGCTATTTGTTTGGTTGTTCACTTTTCGTGTTGTCAATTTGACATTGGCATGGAACATATTCGAGATTCAATTTATTAAATAAAAGTTTTTTCAAATGCCGTTTATAGCTCGACGAAAAAAGTACAAAAAAAGTTCTAAACCTATTGTAGTAGTACCAATTCATTCCTAAATATTTTTACATTAGTAGAAATTGAGTTCATTCAATCAATTTAGGTTGGAAATTACTGACGTGGATTCCGGATATCCTACGTGGTGCAGCATGGCGCTAACATGAATATTTTTTTATAATATTTTTGAATTTTTTTCTATCTTTTTTTTTCTTCCATGGCCGGCGAGGGTTGAGCGAGGGTCGACCTCACTTGCACGATGGCGAGCGCCGAAAAGGCTGACCCTCACCAAATTTGGCAAGGCTGCCTGGGCAAGGGTGAGGCAAACCCTCGCAAGCTAATTGCACGGACCATAGAAGAAAAAGAAAGGAAAAAAAAGGAAAAATATTATTAAAAATTTATTTGAAAAAATGTCTGCATCAGTGTCAGTTGTGCCACGTAAAATAATAAGCGTCCACATCAGCAACTTCCAACCTAAATTGGCTAGATAAACTCAATTGGTACCAATGTAAAGATTTAGGATTACATTGATACATATAAAGTATTTAGAACTAAATTGATACTAATACAATAAGTTTGATACTTTCTTAAGTACTTTTCCAGTAGCGGGACAACCGCTAGGATCTCATGTGTCTGGGCCTTGCATTCTAGAGATAATCAAATTCATTTCGCCGCTAATTCTCTATATAGAAAACCGAGCTTTCATTTTTCCTCATCAACTTTGGCAGTGGAAAGATGCCCACATTGGATGGAGTGACTTTAAGATTTATTTACTTTTTAGCATTTAAAATTTAACTCTGTGATTTTGAACACCCCAGAACTGTCAAAAACTATACGTAAGGATTTTTAAGATCATTTGCAATCATGAAACGTTTCAAAGAGTTAAAAAGTAACTTGCAGTTTCTAAAATTAGGAATTACTAACGTATTTAAGAGGTTACCAATAAAATGATGAAACTTACTGACGTCAATTGCTATCGTGCGTGAAATATTACCATCGTCCATAAAAATTACCAACCACGGCTAAACCAACACTTCTCAGACAGTATAGACTGTTAGTAGACGTATCCGTTGCTTTCTTTATCCAAGGACACGTTCAAAGGTCTTATTAAATTAATAATCCTCGTTATTTACACATAATTTGGCTAGGCCTGTTAGCAACTTCTGATAGATAAAAGAGAGAAGAAGACAGCGAGTAGCAACCAGGTAGAAAAGTCAAAACACGAACTACTAACAATCAAACAATAAACACTCTGATGATAACACCGGAATGGTACATACAGCAACAGCAGCTCCACCTCAAAATAACCAACTAAAACATATACACAAACCATGATGACCAAAGTCCCCACAAGAATTTATTTACCTAACATATATATATCTGAGAAAGGAATCAGAAAAATAGCTGAAACCCTGTATCAGGACACGTCGTCAATATCTGACGCTGCTCGCTACTTAAAATGACCTGTTAGGTTTCGAGGATGATGACGATGAGGACGACTTGGCTTTTGCGAAATCCACGAGATCCTTGAAGAGCGCATCTTCTTGTTTCGCTTCCTTGGTTGGGGTAGATGGATTCAGAGACATGTTCTGAGTGTGAGCCACCAAGCTGTCATAAGAGGAACCGGATCCACTACTTGAATGAGAACTTCCCGGGAAACCTTGCTTTTGGTCAAAAAATTGTTGCCTCTGATTGTGGCGCGAAGGTGGTGGTGGAATAGCGGCAGGAGACTGAGTCGTATCCCAGGGAGCTGGAGGAAGTCGATCAGCAGATCTGCTCAATGGGAGAGGCTCATCATAGGCAGGCTGACGATCATAAATAGGTGAAGTTTCTGGGCTTTTGCCATATGAAGGAGGAGAGTAACTGTTGTCCGAATGATTAGGAGGTCGAAAAGGCCGCGATGTATCGATGGAGCCTTCAGATTTAAAAGCATCACCACTGAGAAAGTCCACCGTACCAGAATCTCCCGAGATTGGCTTCTTTGATGAGGGTAAAGGAGCAGTTGGGTTCAGTCGAGAAGGTTCCGCTTTAGTGCTGACTGGTTTCCTGTTGTTACCATTGTCCCTTGATGACCTGCGAAACAGAAAAGTGGAAGTTCTGAGATAAGATAAGCAATTAGGATTTGGTAGAGTTTTTATAGTTCCATGGTTTAATAACTTCAGATAGATCAAATTTACTATTCCTTAATGCTTAAAATAACCAAATGCACTGCCAAGAGCCAAGGCTAGATATATGAATCATGCTTTTTAAACCTTCCACAGTACACACCAAATTTTTTTTGGACAAAAAAGGATTAGGATCCTCTCTGGAACTTAAATCGATTCAACTCCATGAGATTATGCAAGACAAGAAGATATGTTGATCTATCACCCAATGCAACTAGCACCGTCGTGTCAATCACATTTCAAGTGGCACTAATGCAGATGTATTACCTGTGAGATAATTGGGCAAAGTCATCTTCCAATTCATCATCCTCATGGTCTACATTTACCAGTGGCATAACTGGAGTTACACTTGATACTACCCCAGCACTAGAAGTTCCTCCAGCAATGTCATCATGCCGGCTAAGTACACGCTGCAAATTGTCATTTAGCGCCAGTCCTTGACACAGAAGGCCCTCATCTCTGAAATAACAAATTTCACTGTCAGGACAATTCTCACGTCAGAGAACCCCAGAAAAGATTATCATTCTCCTTACGCAGTTTCATTCACAAGCAGCATGACACGCTTTTGATAAGAACGGCACTGATCAACAAGGTCAACAATCACTTCATCCTTCAAAGCCTGCCAAGTATTCATAGTTGTAAGACTTTGAATTTAAGCGACCATTTTCATATGTTTATTATGCATTCTTCTAAATAAAAATGAAAAAGGAAAGAAGGCACACAAATTTATTAGCAGAACTAAATACGCAAAGAATTGGCGACGAGCACGTGTTGCAGATAAACAACATTTGAAATATCAGAATTCTGTTCCCAAAATGAAGTGGAAAGCACGTAACTGTGTACACGAACGATGTGACATAGATTGTTACCTCAGGTTTCTTAGCATCCACTGCTCCAAGCATTTCCATTAAAACGTCAGCTAACCCCTGAGCATTTTGTATCTCTGACATGCTGATTATAAAAGATATTACAATTCCAAAATGACTACAGCCATCTAGAGGGATGATGATATATTGCTCTCTCTCAAAAACAGAACCTTCTACGCAAAGATAAGACAGAAGAAAGGAGGAGCATCCTGAAAAGTACCTAAGACCAGAAGCATCAGATTGAAGTGAGGCCTGAATAGCAGCATCTTCAAATTCTGGAGCATGTTGAAATACGGGTTGAGTTTGTGGCGGCGTGAACAAGGGAACATCATTTACTTCTCGCGGTGGAAATTCAACTCCGGCGGCCTGTTAATGATTGACAAGATCAATCTAGGAACTGTACATTATGATTACCCAACACACACAAGCCGTAACAAACAAACTACGCATGAATGATGAAAGGCCCGTTATGTTAAATAGGGCAACAACAAGGGCAAACACATCATGCAAGTCTTTATTCTAACGTCAAAATTTAAACATGTCCATTAACATACACAAACAGCAGTTAGATGTTCTCCATCCCAATCTTCCTGAGCCAATGGTTTTCTAACAAAGAAGTAAGCCCAGAGCTCAAGCACAGGAAATTTTACAATTAATGATACATCATAGATATGTACATTGACAAGAAAGCAAATCCAGGTTGAGTCAGTTTATAAGAGGGAACAGCAATGTCTCCAAGAGGCACACTGCAAGGAAACGAACTCATAATGACCTGGCCGGGACACTGCCGCCAAAGATTCCCGCCATAGAAAATTTAAATGTCCAAAGATCACCAGTGATAAATTATCAAAAATAAGCTTCATTCGTCGTATCCTCAATAAGGGCTACTACAACTTTTTCTCAACCAAAGTGATGTTACATCCTAACTTTTCTTGAGTGTACAAGAATCTGTTGAAGCATTCTAATCTCCATTGCCCTCGTTTTTTTGCACATAAGGTGCTTGACTGCATAACATTTCATGCCATAAAGCGTCATTAGCCTTATTATTGTCCTATAGAAAATTCTTCTCATGCAGTTACACAGCACGGGGAACAAAGTATTATTTCACCTACAGAATCTCCCCTGTGCATAAGTGGCATTATATGATCATACAAGGTACCAAATAAGCTTATCGATATCATCCACATGACTGGTACCTTGTGTGCGAAAGATTTCTCTGTCCTGCAAAATGGATCCATGATATCAAAATCGCTCCCTCTCTAACGGTTGTTACTCTCCAGTTCTCACCAGTGTGTCCTTTTAACATCTACACACCTCAAGTATCTGTCTCTAACCGATTTAAAGGAAGCTCTTAGGTTCTACCGTTTCTACAGAAATTTGAAATTCACGTTTATTTCAGCTTGAATCTCGTCAACCACACTATTTTATTTACAAAAAGCATACTCCAAGAAATATCGTCTTCTTTAATCCTAGTGAGCTCAGTGGCCAATTAACAACGCAAGGACAAAGATGCAACAAGATAAGGAAATTATGCATGAAGGTATTTCTCAGATACACTGATGCTCGAATAGCCTCTAGAACTAAAACAAGAATCAAGAATAATTACCCTCAATTCATTATAAGCTGTATAATATTGGGGATACCTCCCCCTAGGTCCACCAAATGCTTCCTGCCATGTGTCGATTAGAATTAATATTTTCTCCCTTACGGTCAAATCAGGCTGCACATCGAACAAAACATCCATCAGAATGTTGTGTGACACAGTAAACCTATCAAAGGAAATAATTGATAAAGAGGCAATCTTACCTTTTTTTTCACTATTTTGACCATATCATGCAAGATGTCGCGCTCAACAATCAGCTGGAAAACATTTTCGCCGCAGTTTTTGCTGAGAGCCTCCAATGCCTGGGTTAAGACATGAGTAATATATCAATAGCTAAAGAAACCGATCTGTTGGAAGTTAATAACAGGACAGAGCAAAAAACATAAATCAACCAGAGAAAAATCAAGATATCGAGAATCCACTCATAATAGACACATTAGAAAGGCACTCCACACACCAGGACACACAACCGCTCGCATCTTTGCGTGCAAATACACATCAATCGCTAGCTACACACACACACACACACACACACACACACACACATATATATATAAACAAAAACAAATAAAAATGCTTAAAGAGACTTACAAAAAGGGCCAGAATCTGTATTTTCGGATTTTTGCTGGTGAGACGCTTTTTCAGCACCTTTAGAGCGTCCTTAGCTTGCCTGCAGAAATTCATTTATAGAAAAAGTTTAGAAACCTTTACATACAAGAAACCAGACCGATAAAACAAAGACACAAAAACGACACCCTGTGCAATAAGCAATAGACGAATCTGAGATATTTCTTTTTCAGGGAAAAAAAACTGCGACATGCATCCAGATGAGAAGAGCAGCTCAACTATATCCTGACATTCCAAAGGACAACTTATAGAATGCAAAAAGCTCCTCTAATCAATGACCCCTCATATGCAATCTTCATATATACCTGCTCACCATAATGCATCAAGCATGTCTTGTCTAGGACTAGCAACTGAATAATCCAGAATACGATGCCCAAATGCACTTCACCTCATAATTACACACCATTAAAGTGGAATTACTTTTGGCAGTTCCTAACTCCCAGGTGTTTTCGTGTGTCTTGAAACATTCGAATGACGGTCCATTCGTGACCGTGTTTTTAGCGGTCGTTTGATCATTTTAACATCGCTATAACGCACTATCTTCAAGCATGTTCATCAAATATCGACGATGTTTGGGCGGGCATATATACAATTGGAGAAGACGAATCAGGAATAGAAAGTCCACCCATTTTCCTATGAACTAGATAGGGGGACCAATATGATCAATTACGAGAAAATACGCAGGCACAAGTGGATAAAAATTCAATTGTGGATTCATGGTGCCGTTTCAATTCCAATCCCGGCCAAAAAGCGCGGGTATTACATCTAAAAGTAAAGATATCAGGCAAGATACGGGAATATCGCCACAAAGGACCGCCAAAAGCAATACATCCAACGAAAACTTCCACCCGAGAAACAGCCGCGGGAGATTGAAAAAACCCGTTACCGCGGATCCATGTTGATGATATCGCAGAGCTCGATATTGATAGCCCAGTCAGGTCCCACCAACCCGTCGCTCGTGGCTCTCTCCGCGCAGGCCGCTGCACTAGTCGCCATTTGGGGGTGGGGTTCCTCCTGCCTTCTTCAATTCCGGCCCTGTTTATCCACGACAGCTGGAAGGAAGACAAAAAGAGCGCGAGAGAGCGCCGGTCATAATCCGATAATCGAAACGAAAACCCCGACAAGACCTCGCGACTCAGAGCAGAAGACGAGATCACGGAGTAGCCCAAATGATCTGATCATTACACTAATTAGGCAACTCCGGCTAATATTCCCCCCTCCCCCCCTCCCTCCCTCAAACCTGGGTCGTTCTCGAGCAAACGAATCGAGGGGGGGGTCGAAAAAAGGCCACGGCCGGCGCCCCCCGGGCGGCAGGTGACCAAGCAAAACCAATTTCGCCGGGAAAAAACCCCCTCTAGCCTAAGGAGGCCGAATCAGCTCGAGCACCGGCTCGATCATACCCCTAAAGCGCAAAAAGCTACGCGGGGAGGGATCGGGCAATGGGGAGCTCGAAACACCCTCGCGGCGACGATTGACCCGGACCCGGAAAAAAAAAAAAACCCGCAAAAAGACGAAAGCCCCCCCTCCCCCTACCCCCGAGGGACGCGAGCCTCTCGGTGACCGGAGAACAAAACCCCGGCGGAACCTCGAGCGAACCGACCACGGCGAGATCCGGCGGCTCTCCGATCGATCGCCGGGAATTCCGCAATTCAGGGCGGCCGGAATCGGTCGGCGCGGCGAATTTGGGATCTCGACGGGGAGGGAGGTGTGGGGGGCTTACCGGCGGCGGAGGAATCGGGGAAGGCGGGAGCGAGCGAGAGAGAGAGAGAGACTCTCGGAGGAAGAGGAAGAGGGGAACGAGAAGGAAGGAGACGGATATATGGAGGTGGGAATGATTTCAGATTTCTTCTTCTTCTTCTCGAAGAGGCGAAAGCAGAGAGAGAGAGAGAGATGGGAAGAGGGAAAAAAAAAGAGTCATGGCTGATGACGGGGACTTCAGCCGCTTTTATGAATTGGGCTCCTTTTTTTTGCCCCTTTTTCCTTTCTCGAGTAAGTTTTTGGGGCTTTTTCTTGTTTTCCTTCGTCTGGGGAAAAAAAAACAAAGGATTAAATGCCCACCGGAAACGTCGCTCAGCACGAATTTTACCCCTGATTTAATTTTCATCTCGTGCCAGAAAAAGGAAAGCTCGCACTTGGGATTCGTGCCACGTCTGCCCGGAACTAATTTTAATTCTAAACTGGCGGCATCTGCCCGATGTTCTCATTAGAAATGGATGCAGATTTGAAATTTTTCGTCGAGAGAAAAACCAATTTCGGGGTAAATATTTCACGGGGCACGAGCTCGAGATCGTTTTTGGCGAAATGATAATTAGTTCATGGTAAACATATCATAAGGGTACCAGGTACCAATTCAGCACCTTAATATTGTCGACCCTTACTTTAAATATTAAAAAGAAAGAGAGAAATATGCTAACATCCTTCTCTGTTTAAAAGAACAGAAAAGATAATGGAGTTGGTAGTTTATGGAGCAGTTTGGGTCTTTTAATTTCGCTGGAAAAAATATTAAAACATCTGCCAACACTAAACCAAAAAAAAATTACATGTTTTTTTAATACTGGGGAGGTCTTACTCAGATCCGACCAAATCACCCACCGCCGACCCGATTATTTTTTTATGTAAAATGTAGAAATGACACAAAAAGAAAAAACCTTCACATTTTTTAATTCCCAAAATTCATATCACCTTAAAATCATCGAACAATTCCGACCAAAAAAATAAAAAATTATCGAACGACCTCAATAAATGTATCGTAAAAACCTAATGATGTCTCGTGCCAAAAGATATTAATGACGTGCAATCTTTCAAACGTCGTTTTGGTTAAAAGATTTTTCTCCTCTCTCTCTCTCTTTGTGTGGGATGAGCTGTTGACATTTTCCGTTTCGTAAACGACGGCCGTGACGCAACATGCGTGACAGTCCAAACAGAATCCGCCAGATGGCAGCGGCGCGAGCTGTTTCCCATTGGCTCGTGACCGACGGCGGAGTGTACGTTCCGGAGGTCTCCGGGTTTGACTTTTCCTTGATGACGACGAAAACGACGAGTTGGTTAGTAAGCTAAGCGCGTCATCTGCGTTAATGTCCTAGTGTGTGACCCCGGGATTTTAGATGACGCAGAGGTATTGTTATTAATATTACCGTGCGCTTCGTAATACTTGTTAACCACGCTTAATTTGTCGTGAATAAATTTTCCAAAACATCGATGGCGCATGATATGAGAGTAATCTGCATATTAAAAACCTGTAAAATATCTTAATTGATTCCCCGTCGTCGTCGAGGATATCCGATACCCGCTTCAGAAATTGGTGTGTGAACGGCTTGACATATAGCGATTCTTTCTTTTGGGGTTTGGGGGGAGTGTCGGCTTCATCAAAGGAAGTCAACGCCCCCACCGTGCATCGATTCCACATTGCGCCGTGGTTGACCGGGCCGTGGCCGGAGGAATTTGGTGGAATTCCAATCCCCCGTGATCATCGTTTTGACGTGGAGTGGAAAGTACTGCTAGATTTGGCCATGACTATTCTCAAAGAAGGGGAGAACAGAGAAGAACGGTGCGATGTTGCAAAGTCTCGTACATACAAAAGTGGTTCTATTAGTACAATCACTCGATACGACAATCGGGACCATGTAGGATCAAATCATAGTGGGGATATCCATGAGCACTTCCTCCTAGCCTCTTCCCCCCACGTATGGCCACCACCCCTGTCTTCATATATATATGAGTTTGCCTCTATGCTCTTGTCATACACGACCACGAAGAAAAATCTTTGGCGTCGATCTGCAATCATCAAAAATTTATTCTTAAAGTTACGGCATCGATAGCGGAAATTGTTAGAAGAGTCATCGCGCATGCAAATCGTGCATTTCTAACCACCATATAGTTCTCTTCCGTGTCCCACGTTGAAAAAGAAAATAATCCGCGGTCAAAGCGAGCGATTCTCGTGATAGTCTGACATGAATGGCTAGCGAAAGATCGAATGATTCGATTCAAACATCAAGTTGGCTTGCAAAACTTGATTTGTATTAAATAGAGGGTTCAAGCTTCAAAGACGTAAACATTTCTGCGAAATTATATCGTATGGGCACCCTGGTGTCTTCTTATGTCATCAAGCTAAGACCACTTCAATGCATGATATAAGAACTGAGAAAGACTTGAGAATGTTCATGGTTATGTAACTTATGTCATATACACCACCACTTATAAACCGATTTCCCCAACACATCACATGAGCTGTACGGCAACAAGATGTCGCGTGTACGAGGCTAAAGTACGATGGTAATGAATAAAGTACTATGGTATTGAATAAGAATAAGGAGGTCGTGCCCTCTTGTTTGGAAATTACCTGAAATGAAATTGAATTATCAATATGAATGACGTTTTCACTATCTCTCCATGCAACGCAAGTGAAAGCTAAGCCCTCTTTATATAGAAAACAATAGAAATCTTATATTCAATTATCCTTGTCTATATACCTCACTCAATCGCCAATTTTTATAATGAAATATCTAATTCAAGAGTACAAGTTACGTCTACCAATACGATCAATCTCTATCTAAAGTATGACGGTATTGAATAAAGTACTATGGTATTGAATAAGAAAAAGAAGGTTGTGCCCTCTTGTTTGGAAATTACCTGAAATGAGAATCATCGGAATGAATGACTTTTTCACACTCTCTCTCCGCGCAACAAAAGTGAAAGCGGAGCCCTCTTTATATAGAGAACAATAGAAACCTCATATTCAATTATCCTTGTCTATATAGCTCACTCATTCGCCAATTTTTCAATGGGAATACTGATTCGACAGTACAAGTTGGTGGACGATCAATCCCTATCAAAAGAACAAAAAAAAAAAAGAAACTTTAAGGGATAAATTTTAGTTGGCCTTGACGTGACGGATAGGGTTAACGAGAACATTCCAAATTAATGAAGTTCCAATTTGAAAAGAAATAAAAAGTGGTTATATATTAAAAACACTTAAAAGTCCAAAATTAGGGTAGGTTGAACTAATAGGAATGATGTGAACCCACAACCGAGGACCATTGAATCATTCTTTGGCCGAATACAATTTGAGGTTGAATTGACTAAGTTCAACGTAATGCATTAGAAATGTCACCGACCAAAAAAAAAAAACATTAGAAATGTCACATCACCTTTTTCGATCAAAAAAAATAAGAATAACGCCACCCAACCCTGATCCGTGAGAAATGGCCTGTGGTTCAAAAGTCAACACAACACATTCACGTCAACCGAAATGTCACATCCGGCGCCGTCGGGCCAACATCACCATCTAATTTGACCAAAGAAAGGTACCAAGAAATTCATCTCAACCACACAGAGAAAGTGAGAATTCCTTTGTTGTTAAGATTCGACCAAGGCACACATTGTCCTCTCGGCCCCAAGACCATTCGTAATGAATCGCTCGACCAGCTAGCTCATCGGTAGGGAAAAACCGAAAGTTAACAGCTATTAAGAAACACGCAGACCGTCAAATAGAACAGCAAAGCCCCGTGCATGGTGTGGCCGAAATACTCTCAACCACGGTCAGGCTGCAAATGGACCGAGAGAATGCAACCCGTAGTGCTTCAGTGAGTCAAGCGAGGAAAATGTAACTCGTAAAACCTACTATCCTAATTCTGCTGTTATCAAAATAAGCCAAGAAAGCATCAGAGTGGTTTCCACTGTCCACGAAATCAAAGAGAAGATCGGTCGCAACACAGATCGTCATTCCCGGAACGGAGAACGGGTGCGAGGAATATCAGTAATTTTATTGAAGAACCAGCATAGCTCTCACATATTCCAGCAATGTACCTATGTACTCAGACCAGCATTATATTAAAACTCCCATGGTTCATTTACTTCATCAAGACACACATCTTTCCCATAATCTCATACTTCCTATCAAAACCCCTAAAATAGCACCCAACACACCAATAACATAAAGCAATAAGAATCCCCTCCTACTGGACTTAACGACTGCATCACCTTTAACAGCACTCACATCTGTGGAGACAGAATATAATTTCAACCTACTGAAGCTGGACATCCTACCCAGAGCTCGACTTACAATTGCATTCTCGGAAGCTGATGCTGGAGTAGTTGGTATTGAGTCCACAAAAGCCCAAAGCGCCGAAGAGAATCCACTCATCACACCATCACCCTCTTCGATTTGGCTTTGACTTGATTCATTGGGCAAGCTACTAGAACCATTTACAAAACCTGAAAACAAATGCAAAATGACCACCGAATCAGCGCCTGCCGACGCGAGATACAACTCCCTCGGGTGAAAAAGACAACGAGGATAACACATATGTCACGCTCAAATAACCAGCAGTATGCAAAGAGAATACTTGTGCTAGACGAGCTCATGGAGCTAGCACCAAATCCCTTTTGGATTTCACCATGTGGACTGTGACAGTTCTACCAATACCATCCATCCCATCAGGAGCTTTGTGTGGATGGCAAATGGAGAGAGCCACTTTATTTACAATAGAAACAAAGACAGAGAACTCAGTGGTAGCTAAGAAAATCATCAATATCACATCTTGTGTCACCATGTACCTGAAGGACACGGTTGGACCCCCTGGGCAATTTCAGCTGAGGTATAACCTTCAATTGTTTGCTCATGCACCCACAACTGACTGGCAGTCTGCTCAGCGACATTTGAGATGGGAGGTTGCTGCTGCTGGTTATATTGGTTCATTAAACCATTATCAAAACAATTCATCTGGGTAGTCCCACCATCTTCCTGATTCATGGATCCAATTTCACGAAGAAACATGGCCGTATCATGAAACATATCAAATTCACTGAACCCATCTAAATCATCAAACTGTGGATCCTCTGCAGGTTTCTCCAAGGCACAGAAAGAGGGGTCACTATTGATGAGATCATCAATTTCCAGGAAGTCCTCGCTTACACGAGCCTCCAAGGTACTGCGTTCAGGAGCACGTGTTGTCTCGGAAGCTTCCTGCGATTGTTGCCACTGGGATGCTCCAAACTGGGTTAACTCTATGTTGGCCACACTTTCATCCCGCAAAGTACTCGGATCATATACAAAGAGTGGCTCTGAAGCGACTACTCCTCCAGATGACAGATCCACCAATGTACTTTGTTCTTCTTCTTCCTGAAACATATCATGAAATATCAGTTGTGCACATCAATACATTTTCGAACGTGAAATACTCACTCAAAAAGCATGCAAATGTTCCAAAGATGCAACTAATCCATTTCCTCATCCAATACCAACACCTTTTTTCCACTTTAACAGTCTATTTGATACCTAAATAAGAGCCAACTACCAAACTACTACGATTTAGAAGCAGAAGCCTTTCCTTGTATTATAAATACCATAGAGGTTGAAACTAAAGCAAGTTATAAGACACTGCATGCATCCCAATTAGAACATATTTATTGGATTTACAAGAAGGATAAAATTGGCACTGCAGTTTCTATGACATACAACCAACCAGTATAGCATTCCAGAATCAACATTAAATGAGGTAATTGTTAACAAGAAGTGGAGTATATAATAGTTAAACAGCCAACCCGGCATACTACTGAAGGATTAAACTGATTGAAGAACCAACCTGGGGTAACAGATAACCACAATTATTATACTGTGGTTGCTCAAGTTCAGGCCCCGCTGCAATTTCATTAAAAAACTCTTCGATATCATCAGCTGGAGGCAGGACATGACTGTTGTTCCCCGCATTGTCTACTGAAGAAACTGGAGGAAGTTCTTTTGGACAGATCTCCTGATCAACAACCTTTGTTACAGCAGAGCAATCATCATCTGCCCAGTCTTCCTCCTTAAATGGTGCCCCATATTGCTCTCCATTCTTCGGTCCAGGTCCACTTTTCTTGTAAACCTTATAGAGAGCATAATAGTCCTAACAATATTTAAAAAAAAAAAGCTTCAGTACAGATGAATATTAAAGAAGGAAACTGGTAATTTAGCCCCTCATCAAGTTGCATACCTGCACATTTTGGCATCTCTTGAGCTCCTCTTCATCTAGAGTATATTCATGCATCACCCAGTCAGTTCTTTCACCGCTAGGTGCTCGACCTTTGTAAAAGACTAGGGTCTTCTTCACTCCAACATCGCGGCCATTGGATGTAATGGTACGATCCTTTCCTGTTGCTTTCCAATATCCATGTCTGGTAGCTCTATTTGACCTCGCTGCATTAGGATATTTCCTGTCTCTATGACTGAAAAAGAACCACTGCCTATCCCCACTCTTCAACAAAGATTGGCCTGCATCGCAAATTTCGTGTCAGGAAGCTGTTGTGATAGCAGATCCATAAGTTGGAACTTTGCAGGCAACTCAAGGGAGCAACACGACATTTTAAAAGTTCTTCTGAAAGGTTTCTTAAGAAAACCAGTAATTAATAACTGAGGATTAACAAAACTATGAGTAGAAAATAAAGCACACCATAAGCAAATCCATGCCATTCTACAAATATATCAAGCGTGTACCACCCTTCAACATCCACTTTTCCTACTCTACTATTTTCCGTACAGAACAGAACCATCAGTGACAGGAGACTGATTTCAGCACGTTGACGATAAAAGAAAGAGGCGTTCAAGCAAGATCCGTCAGAAAAGAAACAAGTAGATGATAAGAGAACAAATTACCCAAGAAAAATGAAACAACTAAACGCAAAACGATTGTTTCTATGCAACTTTCGCTAGACTAAACTAACCCAAGACAAATCTTTGGCTGAACCAAGCCACTGCTAGGGACGTCTGGCATAAAATTAAAGGAATGAGGTGCTCGCCATGCAAAGGCTTCACGATCATTCATGAACTTACATACGTACACAGATTAACGAAAAGGGCATCACCCAAATGTAAAACACTTCTCCAATTATCATCAACTGCCACCACTCACTCTTAATCAGCTAAACCCACGACACCCCATCGTAGAGCAACAGGTTCGCAGCCCGCAGCGGTGGCCGCAGGAAACAAGCCACCCATACATACGTACATACAAATGGCACAGACGGATGCCTGACCGATGATAACTACTTCCGACAAGAAGACAAGAGCACAGCCGAAAACGGACACAAAATCGCGAATCCAACCCAGAACCCCAGACCGATTGCCCAAGCGCAGACACACAAACACGGAATAAACACAAGAGAACACCACGATCGGTGCAAAAGGCAATCTCCGACGATGTACAGATCAAGTCAACGCAGGCGAGCGAAAGCAGGACCAGAGCACGAAACAACAACCAAAAAAAAAAAAACAAAATAAATAGTAAAAAAAGGCATCTTGCAGCAGATTCAATTACCAGGTAACTCCTCAGGATCCCACTTGTAGACATCGAGCTCGGATATGATGTTGAGCCGCAGCTTCCGGCGGCAGATCTTCCTCTTCAGATAATAGAGCACGAGCTCCTCATCGGTCGGGTGGAACCTGAACCCGGGAGGCCAGGAGGAGGGCCTCTCGCCGCTCCGGACCACCGGCGACGAATCCGCCTCCACCGTCATCGCTGATCGCCCTACAAACTCGACCGCCGCCACGCCGGCGAGAGAGATCGACCGATCGATCGGAGCGGGAAGGGTTGGGGAAAGCTACCGGCGGAGCAGGGCGGCGCGGACTGAAGGGGAGTGAGGGAGGGAGTGATTGCGGGGGCGAAGCGACGGCGGCGATCGGTGATCGGGGCGGCGGCGCGGCGAAACCCTAGCGGAGGCGCGAGGGTTACGGAGGCGGGGGAGGAGGACGCGAGGAGAGTGGCGGAGGGGAAGGCGGTATGGAAGAAGATGAGTTTTTTAGGCGGAGCGATTCGTTTTAGTCAAATGAGGCGGATGCGAACCTTCCTTGAAAACGCGTTCAATTTTGTTTTTTTGGGGATTTTCGCTTTTCGGAAAATTTTTTTTTTTGTATTATCTTTTGGTGAGATTGCGTTCACACTGCGCAATTTCTCTGTTTTATTATTTATTTTCTCTTTATATAGAGCCGAACCGCGCCCCCGCCCCGCCCCCGCCGTGTTTGGTGCCCTCCGCACAGTCGACCTCGGGCCGCCGCCGCCGCCGGCGATGAATACTGGGGTTTGGCTTTGAGTTGGCTGCCGAGTTATCGGATTTAAACCGAATCTTTATCAGTCATGTATGATGTGTTAGATCATGGATTTCCCTCCGTTCTTGCCTTAAATGATTCGGTAGAATAAGATGAGAAGTAGCATGATTAGGCACCATTTGGTAATTCATGATTTTGACTCGATGTTACCATTGAGGACTCACGTCTCCTTTTTTTTTGTAAAAAAATAATTATGTGCCGAATAATTCGATATTGAAATTATTCATCTTAGGTTCCATCTGTTTCCTAGAAAATATTTTTTATTTATTTTCCGGCATCTGGATCGCTTAGGAAAATGAGTCAACGGAAAATGTTTTCCCAATCAACAGAAAATATTTTCCTATTAAAGCTTAAATTCAAAAAAATAAATTTAAAAAAAAATCATTTTTCAAAATATGATCAGGTATCGACGATTGAATCAGAAACTCTACGCTTGAGCACGAAACCTCAACACTCAGTCCCAGGCCCTTGGCACCGGGACTAGGTCCATCGAAGCCGCGCCTAGGACCTCGATGCCCCGATTTGAGTCCCTCTAAGGTCGTACCTAAGACCCGGTTGCCTCACCCAAGTCCATAAAAGCCGAGCCCAGGTCCTATGCGCCTCGTGCCGCGGTCCACCGAAGCTAGGTGTCAAATGTCGATGCCCATGCCCAAGTCCCCGACTTCCGAGCCGGGCTCAGGACTCCCATGCTTGTGACCAGGACCCTTGTGCCCGCACCTCGATCCATTTATGTCAAGGTCGGGCTCTTGTCCATCGAGGTCATGCCCGCGACCTCGGTATCTATGCCGAATTCATTGGTTACCCATGCGCAAATCACTAACGCCTCGAATAGGGTATGCTTATTTAGAAAAATCAAATGAGATTTTCATTACTAAACGACGGAAAATGTTTTCTTGTTCATTTTCAGGTCTCATCCAAATGTCAAAAAATATTATTATTTTCTTGAAAAATGACTTTTTCAAAAATATCATATTTTACTGCTAAATAAATGGAGTATTAAAACACTGTAAAAGTTAAAATTGAAAAGCACATCCGCCCGGACTTTCGCTAATACGAATAAAATTAGTTGCGTTATTGCTTATGGTTTCATAAAATGCATTTTGACCGCGTCAATATTACACGACAAATATCCAAGAGTTGTTTTCCAATCGCGCGACATCATCTCTCACTCGACCTCTCCCCTCTCTCTCTCTCTCTCTCTCTCTCTCTCTCTCTCTCTCTCTCTCTCTCCTTTACCTCTCCTCCTTCCACTGTTTTAGATCCGAGAATTGTTTTTGTTTTTGAGGAAAAAGGCAATATTTTCTCGTATTTGGTTGAAATCTGAAAATAAATAAGTAATTTTTTTTTTTTTTTGGGAAAATAAAGCTTGATTTTTATTTTTCTAAAGAGATGTGCACAATTTGTGTGATATAAGACATCCATTGGCTAAGAACCTGTGCATGGGCACATAGCCTCAAGGGACTTAAGCCCAATCTTTGTGAAATCGGGCTTGACCATCAAGGAATTGTGTGTAGGAGCTAGTGAATTGGACGTGGGAGCTGGGTACCGAGGCATGGCCGCCGGGGGCACCGGGGTCTCGGGATTGGCCATCGTGGACTCAAGCATAGACACTACGATCTTGACCTAGCCTCAAGAGACCTGGGTTTGGCCTCTGTGAACCTGAGTCCAGGCCCCGTTGACTTGAGTGCGGAAGCTGGGTACTCGAGCACAAGCACCGGAGTCTCAGGTTTGGCTATCGAGAACCTTGGCATGAGCACCTAGGCAAGAGAACTGGGGTTTTGGGCCTGGCCTCTATGGACTTGAGTTAGCCTCTAGGACCCAAACCTGGCCATTGAGGACCCAAATATGGGCGTTGGGTCTCTTGTCCAAGCGTAGATATATAGTTGTAGTTTAAATAATGATTTGCGATTTTAAAAGTGAAAATCATTCACTCAAATTTAAATATCGGTTTTTCATTGACTATGAATTTTTTTTTCCGTTAACTTACTTTTCTAAGTGATTCGATTAGGATAATAAGGAAAATATTTTCCACGAAATAGTTTGCCGCGAAATAAACAGAGCCCAAAGATCTCAAGAGTTGAACTTAGATCTCCTACAACCGGTAGTGGACCCAACCCAATAGTGGGCCCTCAAGTTCCCGAAAAACCCAAATATGAACTCGTGACCCTCATGATAGTCTGACCTAGCTCAACCTCTCAAAGGCTGGACTCGAGACCTCGACGGCCAAACCACGGTCCTTGGCGATCGGACTCGATATTGCCACTTGGCCAAACTAAGTCCTTGAAAAGGCTCGTCCATGGGGCCGACGATTGAATTCAGGGACCATGGAAGCCATAGGTCGTCGAGCTCGTTTCTCTTGCAATCCAAATCCACTAGGTCCTGATGAGTAGGACACTAGATTTCGACAGGCCAATGGTCTATTTCCTTAGAAATATGTCGAGAACTTTCATATGTTAAATTATGAGAAATATATTATTATGATTATTATTCATGAAAATATTCTTCTTTTTCACATTTAATGAAGTAGGAAAATTCGTGCTCTTAGGCTCCGTTTATTTGGCGGAAAATATTCTCCTTTTGGAAAATATTTTCCCAGAAGTCATTTTTCTGGAAAATGTTTTCCCGGAACATAATTTTCCGGTGTTCGGCGACCAATATGAAAAAATTTCGGAAAATATTTTTCTGCGGCGCGTCGGCCGGCCCGCCGCGGCGGCCCCGAGCTGCAGCGGCGTCCGGCCGGCGCCAGAGCGGCCGGTGGCTCCGGCAGCGTCCGGCGGCGCACCGGCAGCGAGCAGCGGCAAGCGGGCCAGGCGTCCGCCGTGTGCGGACTCCAGCGCGGCGCGGCCGCCAACGCCAACCGGCGGCGGTGCGGCGGCGGCCGTGGCGGCGGCACTTAGTGAAGAAGAAGAAGAAGAAGCTCAGGAAAATGATTTCCGCTTTTGAAGAAACGGAAGTCATTTTCCGTGGACTTAGACTATTTTGTGAGGGGAAGGAAAATATTTTCCCACGGAAAACGTTTTCCGCCCCCCGGACACCGGAAAATCCGGAAAATATTTTCCGGGAGAATATTTTCCGCCAAACGAACGGAGCCTTAAATATAATCAAAGAGGTAAGACACGTGATTTGAAAATCCCACACTAGCCAAAAGAAGATGACGATAGAAGGTAGCGCTTGCATATGAATACACAGGAATGGAGACAAAGCGCCTTTCAAGGTGAGACAAGAGCTATCAAACTCCCTTCGCTTGCATCATCTCCCCCATCATGTCTTACAAAGATGTCCATAACTCAATGGACCCAATAACTATTCTCTTGAGTTCTATTTATGCTCAACGAGCGCGGTACGTCATTACTAGTTAATTATTAGATGATAACATATTTCTCGGTGATCGAGAGCGAGGCATTCTCTCCTTTGAACTCGATCGGTTTCATTGGACAGCCCGGGAATTGGACCAGACCAGTTTCGGGGTGGGACCGAACTGAATTGGGAACTGATCACCCCTTACCATTCCACACCTAGCTTCGAATTCTTGTTATTGATTTGAAATTCTATAAATCTCATATTTTGAACCTACAAATTTCTAATTGGAGATTTAAAATTGCACAACTTTCGGATAATTAGTTAACGTTGCAAATTGGAGATCAACAAGTTTGTTGTTTATTACAAGATACTATGGCGGTTTGCGGGTATCGGATGGAAACCTGACTACTTTAGTGAGACAGGTTTGGATATTATATATCAAAACTCGTAACCGATTTCGGAGTCTTAGAAAGCTAATGGGATGGGCTTGAAATACCATGCCAAATCCGTCTCGTTTCCATGCCTAATTTGATGGAGCAGCGTCACTTATTGCGTTTAATTTTATGGTGGGTCATTTTCTTATCGCCCGTGTAAAAATGAATATGCGAATGAATATTTTAAACCCCTTGTCAAATCCCACAAGATGCATTTGTGTTTGACAGTCAATTAGTAAGGTGCTGTAGAATTGTGACTTTTTAATGTTCTTGAAGTCCACGAAACCATCATACTCCACGCATTTTTTTTTAAACATGAAAATGGATCGCAATGTTATGAGTCCATTTGTTAGGTTGGTCTTGGAAAAGCGAGGGGAAATCCAAGCTCTATTAATTTCACTTTCTGAAACTAAATTCACAAAGAAATTGCATGTGTTTGGCATGAAGTTGAAGGAAAAAAAAAAAAGGTTATGGGAATTGGATGGACTCGGGAACCGGACCGGACCGGACTGAACCGGCTGGTTCTGGGCGGTTCTCAATTCCAAATGCAAAATTGAACCGCTTGAATAGGGCCGTTCGGATATATTTTCTTTTTTTCTTTTTTTAAATTCTCCTTTTCTTTTAAAAAGTAAAGAAAAGGAAACCAAAACATTAGATTAGACCGGTTCGGGACCGATAGATCCAGCTTTAGGTTGGAGCCGGCCCAACTCAGGAAGCGATCACCCTTATAATGTAAGCTCTCGTGTAATGGAAATGGTCAACGAGAGTTTGCTTGCATCATTAGGAATGTGCTGATAAAATTTCTCCCAATACCATCTATACAAATTATGCACTGTGTTTGACTTTTCCTTCTTATTTTTGAGTTAAAAGAAAGCAATATATATATAAGCCTAAATAAAGTTGATAGATCCTCCTTGGTAGTCCTAAAAATCAAAGTATAGGGATATATTTTGTTCAAGAGTTCATGTAATAATTTTGGTCGGTCCATTATATTTTGTATAGATTTATGATGAATATAGAGAACTCGGTCCATTAACTCACATAAGCTCGAGAGACCAAGTTTTTTGGCAACATTGACTCGGGGAGACAACTGCCACGCACATAGAAATTTAATGTATATCTCAAGTTATATAAAGAATCATGCTAATTACTTCGTGGATGGGCTCAATTGGTCTTCTGTTGATCTTGGGAATGTGATGCGTCAGTGTAATCAATCTTACGAGTCTGACTAACTTCCATGATGGGTGCAATGTCAATTCATCGTGATTTCATGGTGGACATGTTATACCTAACCGCCGTGTCCCCATTTTTTTTTCCTTTTAAGTTTTTTGGGAGTAAAATAAGAATTTCGACGTGTCCAACGCAGTTCATCGAACCGGATTTACAACAGCTCGTGCATATTACTAAGGGATTGCCGTTTTGACCATGCAAGTCGATATCCATAACATCCTGTTCCAAATAGGACGAACAAAACCCTTAATTCAGGGGGGGTTTGGAGTGGATGTGGTCGGACCCGCCCCGCTCCGCAATCCGCATTTGGCAGATTCTCCTAACTTCTATGGAATTGTATAAGGTTGATAAGATATGCTTTCTTTTTTCTTCCATTTATTCCTATTTCAATCATGAAGGCTCCATGATCTCTTGCCTTCTTTCTTTATTTCCATCAATTGCTTTGTGGGCTAATGCACAAGTTTAAAAATTCATGTGTTGCGTGAGGAAATCTTCGAACTCGCAAGGATGAGGATGGAGGACATGAACTTTTTCCTCATGGTCATGGGACACAGGGCAAGGATAGAGCACCCCAATCCTCAAACCAGCTGAAGTGTTTTAACATTCATACGCAGCTGCCTCAACCACCAACCTAATTTGTTCGTGTAATTACAAATACATTTTACCCCGTCGATGTTGATGCCCTAACGGTACAAGTTGATATTCCTAAACAGTAGTTTAGGATTCCAACCAGCTTGTGATAGTAGTCTACATCTCAGTTTGGTGAATGGTTTCTCTAGATCTCTAGTACTTCGATAGGGCTTGGGTGATGCTACTCGCCCACCTCATATCAATCACGAGTGGCGTTGAGCGACGAGCTCTCAACGGTCATAGATCCAAATATTCTGTCAGCGGATATGAAAGTTTGGCGACGAGGCTTGAAGGAAGTAACCGTTCTAGTCATCCCCTATCCTTCTTTTCAAATCCTAGCTCGACATAACTATAGTTAATTGTAATTACCAAATTGACTTAGATGGGAAGATTTTAAGATATACTTGGCTAGTTACAACCATGAAGTTGGATTAGCGCAACCGTCTAAAACCCGGGCAAAGCAAACTTCCTAGGTGTTGCACTCATGAAATATTCATCATATGCCTTCCCAAAGAGCAACCCTCTTCACAATCTTAATCAAGGTAGAAATTATGAAAAGGAGCCTATTCCTACCGAATGACAGTGAATGTTAGCCTTACCATCTCATGCAATAAATTTATAAGTAAAGACGCCGTATATTCCTTCTTCTCTGAACCATCTGATTGGTGGAATGCAAATACGGACATTACCCACGTATATAATTAATTATGTTTTTACGTGGTGGATATTCATGACGTGCGGCTCACGAATTAGAGAGATGGAGCAAAACACGGTTCTTTAAATAAAGCGCGCAGGTCGAGGCCCATAGCTGCTTTTTTTTAAGAAGACAAGCCCTTTCACTTTCCTAAAATTGGTGTCACTTTGATTGTCGAAAGTGGAAACAAAGGCAAATCACACTTGATTTTGTCTTTCTTAGGGCCACACAATTGAATACGGGCATGCCAAAAAGGAAAAGGGGAACTTCACTTGCTTTTCCCCCTCTTTTGCCGAGACAAAGTAACAACTAAACGAAACATAATAATTGACCAACCCATTCATAGAGAGGACAACATCCTTACCTTAAGCTTCAAGAACACATATAACACTGTTGATGTCACATTACTGTTTAGTGCAGATCCAAGTCAGAAAGACATATACCAGAGATTATTGCGTATATAGCATTAACTCCACTAATCACATAGTTGACTCGATAATTCAAACTGCTTAAATAATGAGATTCATTGGAAGGGCAAGCGAAAGAACACCGAATTCAAGCAAACAGCATATTGAAAAATTTAGAGATGAGAATAATTACAAACTCATCAAACACTTCCGAATATATGTAGGCACTCTAATGTGATCTTTGGATGTACTACAGTAATGGAAACATAATTACAGAACCGATTTAGGCCGCGTTCGGAGCATGGGCTCGCTCTTTTCGCTTCTGCGATTCGCTCTTCACCGTCCAGAGAAACGAGCAACACCCTCCTCCGTTCACGTGCCTGCGTCGCGTCCAAAGAAGGGAATTTGTCAGGATCACTTGGACAGCAATTGCTTAACAAATTTCTTGAACAGTCACATAGTTTTGTTATCTCATGAAACCCAGCCTGGATTACTATTTGGGACATGATAATGAAGTTCTCTGTCATGTGTCCTTGATTAGAAGTCAGGATTGTGTGGTGTGGCTTGGGAGGCAATTCATGTACGGTTTGGACTCGAAACAATTGTGAGATGTACTCCACGACAACGATAAGGATTCTCATTTCAGAATCATGAGATTTTCCTATTGGTTGACCCTGTTCCTGAACCCATCATCTAAGTCTGGCACAACTCATGGTGTGGTTGGAAAAACTCGGAATGGCTTGTCCAGGAAAACAACAGGAAATTGTACAGAAACACATTTTTTTTTTCCCCAGAAAAGGGTCTGTTCTAGAACAAAGACTTTGACTCTTATGCTTATCCACTGTAGGAAAAATATCCGATGAAAGTTTCCAGGAACACAAACAAGTCTCCAAGGAAACAACCTTGCAAAATACCAGCTCAGGTCTCTGCAGAGAGAAAATTCTCACTCTCTCTCTTGGCAGCATCCTATTTTCTGATGAAACAAAATAATCTTAGTTCTTAAATTCATCTACTAGTATTTCCAGGGAACCCACGAGCCTTATGCAAAGATGTCCCTTTAAGTATCAAATTTCACTTAATTGCGAATCTGCGACTAGTTTTTTTCTCTAATTTGCAACAGAACTTCACAGGTTCATTAATCCTATTCCTAAAGTGCAAATTTTCTCAACTCTATTAGATGGAACAGAATCTGATCCATCCTGGCCTAATTCTTTTTCCCTCACAAAATCGCATAAGCACAGAAAAACTAGAATGAAGTTTGCTTAACAGTTCATACCTCTTGCTCCTACTCAAGCTGTTGCATCTGCTGCTGCTGCTGCTGCTTCTGCTTCCACTGCTCTTCATGCTTCCGGCGTTCATGCTTGAATCAACGCTCTCGCTGTCACCCGGTGCAGAATTCCTCTTCCTCCACCACTCCTTCTCGACCTCGACGTTCGCAGATCCATCCATCGAGGGCCTCGGCGAGACCTTGCTAAAGTTATTGCCTATATTATCCTTTTTCTTCTTGCTTGAGCTCCAAGGAATTGGAAACACCATTTTAAGCAAGAACCCACCATTGTCGATACTTCCACTCCTCACCATCATATGCCCTTTATTATTGGTCCCATCAACTCTCCTGTTGCTGTTCTGTCTCTTGGCACTCCCATCCCTTTGGATCATCGCCATGGTATCGAGCTGTGGCCGAACCCTCGGCAGCTCGACGAGGTCTTTGAGAGAGAGCTCGTAGCACGACTCGGGCATGTTCCTCACCATCTCCATGAGCTCCATTTGCCCCCGAGCGATTGCCTGCGTCCTCGAAGCGGGCGACAAGCTCCGGTAATGGTTGACGCCGCCCTGGTGGCGCTGCGGGCTCTCCGGTGGGCTCGACCGCCACAGCGGCGGTGTGCATACCCCCGAGTCCTCGTCTGCGTTCGTCTTGCCGCGGAAGTCGCACATGTTGGCCTGAGCAGTAGCCCTGTAGTTTGCATGGCTTTCGACAGTCTTTCGAGCCCGGGAACCGTAGTCGAGGGCACCGACGCCAGAGATCTGGATGTGGTCGGATAGCCTAAGGTTGTTTCTTTGTCGGGCCGGGTCTAGCATGGTATGTAGTTGCTGTTGTATGTGTGTGTGTGTGTGGAGGGGGGAAGGAAGGAGCAGTGAGTGATTCTGGTTTGCTATGGAAGAGGAGAGAGGTGGGTAGAATGGCATTATCAAAAACAGCCACCTTATAGTCATTTCCAATTTTCGTCATTATCTTTATTTCATCTAGAGTTATTAATTAATGGACGGCTCTTGAAGTAAAAGTCAAGGAGTTCTAGATGAGTAGGAAGCAGGCCCACATCCTAAGGCAAAAAACACTAAATAAATTATATCACGATCAAATTGAGAGACGTTGCAAACAAAATATCACCAGATCAATCAAGAATTATTGCTTATTTATTACACGTCAAACGAAAAGGAGTAAGTGTACAAGTTAACAAAATGCATACAATCGTCGCCCGATATAAACACCACGCGGCGCAATTCGCCCCGCATCAAGATCTTTCTGTCTTTTTCAGGAGGAGGAGCGTTTGTTTGTTGGCTTTTCCGATGTGTTCCTTTTGCGTGGAAGGGAAAGACAGGCACGTCCACTTCCGATGGGGGTGGGAGAGGGAACAGGGGATGAGGGGCCTGGCTGCGCATGTTGAGACGTATCTGAGTCGAGGGCGTTAATTATTAGTGCTAATCAATTTGATTAACTAGCTAAAGAATTTAATTAAAGACAAAAGTTTAGGAGGGGGAGGGGGAGGTGGAAGATTTGTTGGGTTGCTTTTCGAAGAGGGCAATGCTAAGGAAGGATTTCTAGGGCGGTACGTTTGAAATTATAATATTCCAAAACGTGATGTCGTTTCCTGGAGACTGAGACATCATGTTGTTAGGAGAGGGTCCTAGGCCCCAACTAACTTTAGTATATAAAGATATTCCTCGAACAACTGAGGAGTCTATTTCGGCCCAAAGAAAAAAATGAAAATGAAACAGCTTAAGAGTCAATTCGTACGCTCTCTCTCTCTTTCTTTTTCTCTAGACGAATCCTCGGTACCTCAGGTCGTATGTTAGGACAGAAAATTAATCATAGGAATGCGATTGTCGTTAGACTGGACCGGCCATAGTCACAGCATCGGGACGGAAACTTAGTCTCAGGACGAACTTCTAGAACTCGAGACCCTCGATCGTTAGGCTGACTACGAGCTCCCTGTGGGTTTGATAAAGGGAAAGGAACGAAACCATAGAAAGAGCATGGTACCATGATCTAGGATTAGGTTTCCAAAAGCCTAGTCAATCTCCAAGTCGCAACAGGGGTAGCAGATGCAAATCGGTCGATAATAAACATTTTGGTATGTCAGCACGTAAGGTTGGCCCCATAGATTAGTTTATTCGTAGTCGGTTGAGAGGGTTGCGCGTCTCATTATTTGTTGTTCTGTAGATTTGTCCGCACTCAAATATCCTATTCCCATGTTTCTTTTTCCCCATTTTCTTTCAGTAAATGAGACGAATTCATATGATCTTCACGACAGGAATTTGTGTCGTATTCATCCGCAGGGTAAGGTAACCATGAAAAGATGGGGTGGAAAAATTTGAACCTGAAAGACGTTGCTTGAGCTGAAAGAACTCGCCAACAAGTTTTTTGGCAGTGCTTGAAAATGAAGTGGCCCTTCGAAGGCACTCTTCGAGCCAGATATGATGGTCACTTGCCTTGGGTTGCTTCACAATCATTTGGTTGGCTCCATGACCATGGCTCCTGTTATTCGACAGGACTTCTGCTTCTGTTTCTCCTTCTCTTGGAAGCTTCAATCATTGATCTAAATACGATTAGGTCAGAGATTTTTGGGGAGGAAAATCTAGACCGGTCCTCATATGCACGTAAGTCATTGGACATCATGTCGAAGCAATATGCATCCCGAAAATTCCGACTTTTTGCAGTTGAAGTTTCGCCAGCTGCTTCTGCTTTTTTTTTTTTTTTTGGTGACAAGCGAAGACATTGTCCGGGTGGGGATCAGTTTGCTTTCCTGGTCAGAGAACTAGGGAGGTCTTAACTTAAAGAGGATGGAGTTTTGCAGCTCGAGTCCTATTCCAGAAACTGTTTGCTAATCAAACCGACCGATCTGTAGTTAACTACTTTGCCGTTCTGGGTATGCCTGCAACTTCATTTTTCACATGGATCTGAAATATTCGACTCTGCAAGCAGCTTGGAAGCCCATTCTCCCAAGTTGGGGAACCCATGTTTTTGACAAGCACCATGTATTCTCTTAAGCATCGAAACTGTCGGCTCAAATGGCATTGTCTTAACAAACTTTTTAAGCTCACACATCCGTCCGGCACGGCTATAGAGTTCAATCATTTGCTCATAATGCTCTAGCCTAGGGATAACGCTATAAACATTAGTCATAGATTTGAAACTCCGTCCTCCCAAGTCAACAAGATCCTCACAGATACAGGCACGCAAGAGCCCCTGAAATGTGCCGTGGTCTGGTTTAATACCTTCCGTGCTCATCATGTCAAACAATTCTAGAGCGTCTTTGCCCAACCGATTGTGGCAACAGCCCAGAATTATGGAATTCCAAAGAACCACATCTCGTGGAGCTGCTTCCATGAAAACTTTCAGGGCATACTTGATGCAGCGGCATTTGGAATACATGTCAATCAGAGCTCCTCTAACGACAATATCGATCTTATATCCTTTCCTAATCATGAATCCGTGAATTTGTTTCCCATGATCAAGAGCACCAATATTAGCACAAGCTGCAAGAAGAGTTCCAAAAGTGAAGACACTGGGCATTGTCTCCCATTGCATCTCACAGAACATTTCCATCGCATGTTCACTCCTTTGATGACGAGCATAACTGGTCAGCAAAGAATTCCAGGAAACTTTGTCCCGCCACTGACTCATCACGTAAAAACAAGCTCGAGCATATCTGAAGTTCCCGCATTTTCCATACATATCCAAAAGAGAATTGCTGACAAGTAAATGGGAAAAGAGACCACGTCGATAAACAAACCCATGCACTTGCTTCCCCAAGAAAACATCTGAAAGGCCAGTACACAAGTTTGAGATCAGTGCAAGAGTGACATGGTCAATGTCCTTGGTTGAACTGCGCATTAGAGATATGAAATTTAAGGCCTCATCCCACTGTCCGGAGCGGATGTATCCTGCCAACATTGCATTCCAGGAAATCACATTCCGTTCCGGCATCTCATTGAAGAGCTCCCTAGCCTTTCCAGTTCTCCCACCCAAAGCATAACCAGACACCATTGAAGTCCAGGAAACTACGTTCTTGGCACAAGGTTGATCAAAAATCTTTTGTGCAGATTCTAATTCAACGCACTTAACATACATATCAATGAGTGAACTGGAAACCACTTCATCATCTTCCAGACATACCTTAATTGTGGACCCATGTATTTGCATCCCCTCCACAAGAGCACGAATCTTAGAACAAGCAACAAGAGCGCTTGAGAAGGTGAACTTCAGCGGCCTAGTGTCAGTCAGAAACATTTTGAAGAACATAACAATCGCCTCCCTCTCATCATCCATCTCAAGATACCGCCTTACAATCACATTCCAAGAAACCGCATTTGGTCTTTCCATCTCATCGAACATCCTCCTCGAGTCACCCATAACACCGCACTTCCCGTACACATCGACAAGCGAGCTCCCCAAAATTACGTTACCACAAAAAGCATGCTTCACCATGAGCCCATGGATTTGCATCGACAGACCAAGCGCCCGAATGACACCACAAGAGCCAAGCACACCGGCAAAAGTGACCTCACTAGCAGAAACCCCGGATGCGTTCATTTTCGAAAACAAGCTCAGCGCCTTCTCCGCGCGCCCGTTCCGCACATACGCAGCAATCAACGCGTTCCAAGACCCGCCATCTCTCTCGGGCATTTCGTCGAACAGCTCTCGGGCGTCCGCCAAGCACCCGCATTTCCCATAAGCCTCGATGGCGCGGTTCAGCAGGAAGGCCGGCGGCGTCGGGTCGAGGGCGACCAGGTGGGACTCCACCCTCCGGGCCTCCACGATGGCGCGGGCGGAGGAGCAGAGCTGGAAGAGGCGGGCGTACAGAGAGCGGGCGACGGGCTCCGGGGACTCGAAGAGGACGGAGACGGCTTGCCGGAGGCGACCCGCATCGAGGTGGCCGAGGATGGTGCCGGTCAGAGCCTTGGCGGTGCTGGGCCTGGGCGGCGCCGGCGGCGACTTGGGGTTGCGGACTCTGTGGCCGAGGAGCTGGTTAAGTACAGAGGCGGCATTCACACCCATATAACGAACGCGGACGATGCGACGGTGCGCAAAGCAGCTTCCTCTTCCGTTGCTTACATGCTCGGAGTAGTACGCGACAGAATTTGAAAGGAACGAATGCGAGTTGGCCGAGCGGAGGGGATCAAAGCGAAGCGGTTGCTTCGACCTTGCCCTGTTGCCTTGCACGGCAGTGAAGAGCAGGGCGATTTTTGTCCGGCTTTGCGGTTTCTATGTTCTGCGAAGTGGGACACGACCCATTTCGAAGTCACAGAACGGCTCATTATTGTATTTGCATTCTTTTAATGGGAAAATGAAATAAATGGTCTACGAACTTGAGCTAAATATGATCTTTCAACTTTAAATTTGTTCAGCGTGATTCTTCAACTTTTGGTATATGCTCAACGTAGTGTCTAAATTGTATGAAAATATTTAATATTGCCCCTGATTTTGAATTAATTGAATGGCGACTTTTTGGTATTGTTCAGGGACTATGTATTAAAAGTTCAGAAATCACGTTGCACGTTAAATTAAAATTCACGATCGATATCACTATCCTTCATTTTTTTTTTCTAAATCAAATAAAGAACTTTAGTATTTTTGTGAAGAAAACTATTCTAGTGCATGGAAATTGCATACCGCCGACTTTTTCTCGAGACCTGCTTACAACTCATCAAAACGGCGACGCTGGGTAGTTCAAGCCGAAATGCTGCTCTCACCTTCGCCGCCGCACACCGGCCGACATAGGGGCTTGTGCTTGTGGATGGTCGCCGTCGTCTGGCGGCGTCAGACTGGCGGGACGGTGGCGCCGGCGATTTGGAGTTCAGGCCAACAGCAGCTTTAACGTAAACATTGAGAGGTCATGGACATGGATGTGCAAACCTGCGGGCACTTACTCCAGTCCTGCATCACTCGTCTCTCCGTCCACGAAGGCAAGCAGCTCCATCTCCTCTTCCTGAAAAAGGGTCTCTTGAACTGCGCCATCACGCTCGGAAACCGTCTCCTTCAGCTCTACGCCAAGTGCGGCCAAATGGATAATGCACGGCGACTGTTTGATGATATGCCTCAGCGGAATTGCTTCACTTGGAACACGATGGTTGAAGGCTACATGAGGACGGGAGAGGCGGCTAAGTCTCTGGAGTTGTTTAGTTACATGCCCTACAGGAATGATTTCTCTTGGAATGTGGTGATTTCGGGTTTTGCCAAGAGGGGTGATCTTCGGACTGTTTCTTGTTTGTTTAATGCCATGTCCAGGAAGAATGCAGTTGCGTGGAATTCCATGATTCATGGTTATGCCAAGAGTGGGCGTTCCAGGGAAGCCCTTAGGTTTTTTAAGGACATGAATTCAGATCCTTTTGAGAGAATGCAGGGTGATACCTTTGTTTTGGCCACTGTCATAGGTGCTTGTTCTGACCTAGAAGCTATTGATTGTGGCAAGCAGATTCATGCGCGCCTTCTTATTGACAGAGTGGCATTTGATTCGGTGTTGGCTAGTTCGTTGGTCAACTTGTATGGAAAATGCGGTGACTTGGATAGTGCCAATCGAGTTTTAAGTAGCATGGACGAACCGAATGATTTCTCTCTGTCGGCATTGATTTCTGGGTATGCCAATTGTGGTAAAATGGATGAGGCAAGAAGGGTTTTCAGCAGTAGCAATAACCCATGTGTCGTATCATGGAATTCACTGATTGCAGGCCACGTAGCTAATAACGAGGAAATGGAAGCTTTAGTTCTGTTTAACAAGATGCGTGAAGAAGCCGTCCGTGAGGACGCCTCTACAGTAGCCAGTATTTTAAGTGCATGCAGCAGCTTAGGTGTTCTTGTACAGGGTAAGCTAATGCATGCCCATGCTTCGAAGAGTGGTCTCCTTAACGAAATTATCGTCGCGAGTGCTCTTGTTGACGTGTATTATAAATGCGGAAGCCTAAGGGATGCTTGCGATCTCTTTGATGAGCTGGAAGTTCATGACACGATCTTACTTAATTCTATGATCACAGTGTATTCTAACTGTGGAAAGGTTGATGATGCAAAAGAAATTTTCAAGTCTATGTCAAAGAAAAGCTTGATCTCGTGGAATTCAATGCTAGTAGGTCTCAGTCAGAACGGTTGTCCTGTTGAAGCTTTAGATCTTTTCTGTGAGATGAATAGGCTTGGCTTGATGATGGATAAGTTCAGCTTTGCGAGTGTTCTCAGTTCTTGTGCTGTTATATCTTCATTTGATCTCGGGGAACAAATTTTTGGAAGAGCCATTGTCATTGGGCTCGAACATGACCCTATCATTTCTACTTCCCTCGTCGATTTCTTCTGCAAGTGTGGTCATGTTGAGAAAGGGAGAAAAGTATTTAATGGAATGGTGAAAATGGACGAAGTCTCTTGGAATACCATGCTGATGGGTTATGCTACCAACGGCCATGGGATGAAAGCATTGAGTCTGTTTGAGGAGCTGAGGCATGCTGGTTTGAGACCCACAGATATTACTTTTACAGCAGTCCTGTCCGCATGTGATCATTGTGGATTGGTTGAAGAGGGGTGGAAATGGTTATATGCAATGAAATTGGATTATGACATCGATCCGACGATCGACCACTACTCCTGTGTTATCGATCTTTTTGCACGGGCGGGTTACCTGAATGAGGCCATAGATCTGATAGAGCAAATGCCTTTTGATGCCGATACAACAATGTGGTCGTCTGTGTTGAGAGGTTGTGTGGCTCATGGGAATAGAACTCTTGGGAAGAAAGTAGCGGAGCAAATTATCAAGCTTGATCCAGAGAATTCAGGTGCTTATGTACAGTTATCTGGCATACTTGCTGACATTGGGGATTGGGAAAGATCAGCAGAAGTTAGGTATATGATGAAGGAAAAGCAAGTAGGGAAAGATCCTGGTTGTAGTTGGGCTGACTGCTGAACGCTAAATATGGTACGCTATTCTTTTTGTTGTTTATTAGTTTTCCTATGGCTTGTTTTCATCATTGAATTGTTTTATGGTGGATCTTGTATCTGATAATGGATGCTCATTTACCATGAGTAGACTACTGATATTATTCTTTTTGTTGTTTATTAGTTTTCCTATGGCTTGTTTTCATCATTGAATTGTTTTATGGTGGATCTTGTATCTGATAATGGATGCTCATTTACTATCAGTAGACTACTGATATTATGCTCTGTGGTCAGATTGCCGGAAGGTAGTGAAGAGGGCAACTGTTATATATGAAGTTCATCTCTTCAAACATTATGTCTCAGAAATGAAAGTATACATGTCAAGATTGGTAAACATATTGGACAGTTGGTAATGCCTTTTCTGCCCTCGTTTTTCAAGATCACTCTGATGGTTAAGAAATGTCTATTAGAGGCAGATTTTAGACAGTTATAGATCTCTCTCTTTCTGCTGTTTTTTTCAAGTACATGAGTGCGTGGTACCTCAAGACTCGAGTGTTTGTTGCATAAACGTCCATTTAACTACTATTATCAAGTTTAGGAATTTTTAAGAAACGGCTGGATGAGATGCCAGATTAAGTATGCATAGTGCTGTTCCACCGTGTTACTCTTCCTAACAGAAATTTTGTCCGCTCCTGAATGGTCTGATGTTGTGGGTTCTTATAGGTTTTGGTGAGCTGGTATACGAAGTCTCTCTAACAAGGATGTCACCAATATCTCAGCTTGCACACTCGTGCTTCATTTACTTGTATTGCAAATTAGTCAATACTCTATGATGCGATCAATTGCGAGTTCTTTTCTCTTAGTTCAGGTTCCAGAGGCTAAGGCTCTGGTCACGAGCATAAGTGTAGCAAGCGGCTGATCAGTTGAACCGTCACATGTCAAGCTAGCTGGACCATCTAATAAGTAGTGCAGGTAAATAATATTTTCATCTACAAACTTTCAGCACCTGACTGTTATTTTGATGGTAGGACTGGAACTGATGACTTGTCTCTATCAGCATTTATTTCTGCAAGATGAGCAGGCTTGTCCTGATGATCAGTTTAAGCTTTGCTAGCGTCAAATTGGGGGATGACATTTGATCCAAGGAATAGGGTCAATCACTTCTCTTGGATGATCGATCTTTTTGCCTGCGCTGGTTACTAATACCATGCCACAGATCCGATAGAGCAAATAAACGCCTTTCGATGCAGATATATCAATGTGGTCCTCGGCTTTGGGAGGTTTATGTGGCTCATGGGAATGAAACTCTTGGGAAGAAGGTTGCCGATAAATTGATGGAGCTCAATCCTGAGACTGATAGATGATTATGTAGAATTTATCCAGCGCTGGCGGACTTTGGTGAGGGAAAGATCGGCAGAGGGTTGTAAAGTATCACATAGAGAGCGGGAGAGAATTTCTCTACACGCAAATGGTAAACCCATTTATCATGTATCGTATATCTCTGTCGCCATGTAATATAGTTGTGAAGAAGGGAGGCCCTAACTCTACAGTCTCATTTTTGCTAAAATTATAAATACCAATTTGACACACATGATTATCGGGAGGATACTCAACCGAATTACGAATGATTGTATGGTTGCCGCCTCATATGCAGAGCCTAACTCGCCAATTCCAAAAGGATGATAAGGGACGACCGAGGGTTGAGGATTTTTTAGTCCGAAACCGAACCTTTGTCCAGACTCATCCACTAATCAGGTACGCTATAAAAGACTGGAGCATGGTGCATGTATGAAAGAGAAGTTGGATCTCACGGCACGTTATCTCCACAGATCGGAAACATTGCAAAAGGATACGACGAAAAAGAAGGAAGGAATTGGCGATTGAAATCGATCGGAGTAAATGTTTGTGAACAGAATCCATCCTCCAGTCAGGTTTTGTCTCGATGGCACATCCCCGTCCAGTCAAGTCCAATTGATGATGACAATGGGAATGGACCCCCTGGCAATATCAACCGCACCTTCGCATCGAAGGCTTATCTCTCTGTGGAAGCGTCCAGCTCATTGTCCACGAGTGAAAAAGGGTGCGGAGGGCGACCGGCACGACAGTGACTTCTCAGGAGTTATCGTAAAAGCCCTACACTGACGTTAACATGTGCGGCTTATCACGGCGGCAGTAGGAGTAGGAGTAGCTGGGACGTTAAAAATGGATCAAAGCTACCTGAATTCAAGGCAGGTGACAGTTCTGGTTATAGCAATCAATGCAAAGAACCGAACCGAATGTCCTTTGGAAAGGCCCTCGCGAATGAATGGAAAGGTCTTTTTTTTTCACTTCGTGCTTTTGGTCAACACGAAGAAGACGACAAAAACGTGGACAGTGAGGAGATGAGTTGGAGGTCGGATCAACTTCACCTAGGATGGCAACCAAACGACGGATAAAAACGGCATCTTTCCATGTCTCTCTGTGTGTGTGTGTGTGTCTTTGTGTCACAGACAAGATAAGATTGAGACCGAGAATTCATATCACTCCCTTAACTTTACAAGAAGCTATTAATTATTCGATCCCCACGTCTGTCTTCTTTCTCTGTTCCTCTTTGAGAGAGGCTCTAGGATCAAAGTATCTTGTTCCTACCGAGCTGCTCTCTAACGCATTCTCCTCCTCTTTCTTTTCCGTGATCTTGTCCCCTACCCTCGTGGATTTCGATGGCTGCTTGGTTCAGGAGGACAAGGGCAGTCGCTCATTACCTCAGAAGAAACAACGGGTGTACACCATCGTCGTCGCGTGGGATTCTTGTTGATTGCCAAGGCATGCCCGTGCCCGCGGCTGTGCCGATGCCTGTCGTGCAACCTCTGGAGAGCGTTTGGATCGGACGCGCGACCGGGAGGATCTCGCCGACCCGGTTCCCGATCTTCTCGGCCATGCGCTTTGAGTCCACCAGAGCTGAGAAGCATCTCGAGTCGTTGCAGGAAGTGGAAGATGATGATGATGCTCAGGTATGATTCACGTGGGGACTGTTGGTCCGTCGTCACTCCCCTCCTTATTACTATGATTTTGGAAATTGACAGTCCAACTTTAATCAGCAAACCAAACTATATTGTAAGGTTGCAGCCTTAATCCCTCCTAAAGTTTGGGGCAGTTCTATATTATTGTTACTCTTTCATAAAATTTTTTGTAAATACTGCAAAATCATCCTCTGTTTGGCATATTTTTATCGGCTCGCATCAAATTTCTTTATTGCGGTATTAGCGGCAAACTTTTTCTCGCCATAAAAAAATATCTTCTTTATATATTTTTGAGGGCTTTAATATTAGAGCTAGTTTCAAAAAAAAAATATCAATTTTACCTTAAGTGACAATTCTGGTCTGAATTTTTTTTTGTCTCGATAAAATGTACATATTTTTACTCGAATCCCAAATCTGGCCCTCGTAATGTGAAATTTCAAATTGTTCGGGCCGGATTTGGGATTCAAGTGAAAATTGGTGACTTGTTATAAGACAAATAAAAAGTTCGGGTCAGAATTGCTACTCAAGGTAAAGTTTGTGTTTTTTTTTTTGGAATTAGGCATGTAATATTAAGTAGAAGTGTAATGTTAAGATAATTGAAAAAGAGGACTTTTGGGCAGTTTCAATACTCATTTTTCACGTTGCATCGTGCTATTTCTCTCTCCAATCATTACATTTTTTTAAAGATATACTAAAGTTGACTTGAGACCAGGCTTCCTCGGCTCGTTCACCATTTGGGCCTGCTTGAAATCATTTCAAGCCCATTTGGTCCAGCCCAGTGGGCCTAAAAGGTCAACGGTTATTCGCTTAGTACATCCTGAAATTCAACAGAGAATGCAAATCCTGCTTCTCTTTGTGTTAATTCCTAACATGAAATTGCAGGTCTTGGATTTCCCTGGTGGGAAGGTTACATTTACCTCCAAAATGCAATTCATACCTGAGTCGTCTGAGAAGAGAGTACCGTGTTATCGAGTGCTCGATGACTATGGACAGCCAACTGAGTATGATTTCTCTGACCAGGTACCTTCAACTCTATGAAAAAGGCATTGAAGCAGTTCATACGAACACTGCATATTGAAGTCTTTTGTCGGAATGAATATAATTCACATTAGTCTCACTTGCATCAATGGGTTTCCCAGTCCTATTCAAATCCATATAAGTTTGTGTCGCGCCTGAAAATTTGATGATTTATTCGCCTGTCATGTTAACTAGGTGAACGAGGAACTCGCCGTGAAAATGTACACGGATATGGTCACCCTGCAGATCATGGACGCCATATTCTATGAAGCACAAAGGCAAGGTCGGATATCATTCTATCTCACGTCGATGGGGGAAGAAGCTATCAACATAGCATCCGCAGCTGCCCTCACGGATGATGACGTCGTGTTGCCTCAGGTATGTTTCCTATTTTTCATGAAGGAAACATAGACACATGCAAAGTGCACATGTATAGGTTCATGTCAATGGATATTGTGTCGTTGTATATGTCTATTGAAAATTTAGTTTTGAGATAACGTAGTTCATCTTGATTCGGCGACCAAACAGAGGGATGCTCTAATGTTTCGCTCGAGCATATATTGGATAGAGCGGTAAAAGAATTTTTAATTACTGTGTCCATCATTTCTACTTCAAAGGTCACTAGGTTTCTACTTTTACCAATTGTTAACTCCTGATAGTAATTGATATCGAATGACTCTGGTTTATGCTACAGTACAGAGAACAGGGTGTTTTACTGTGGCGCGGTTTCACGTTACAAGAGTTTGCGAACCAGTGTTTTGGTAACAAGGTCGACTATGGAAAAGGTAGACAGATGCCAATTCATTATGGATCTAATAAGCACAATTATTTCACCGTGTCATCGCCAATAGCGTGAGGCTCCAGCTCTATTTGTTTTCATTTGATTTCTTCATGGATCTCTCTCAATTATATCACTTGTCAATCCCAACATGTCATGCAATTATTTCTTCTCCAGAACACAAATTCCTCAAGCTGTTGGTGCTGCATATTCTCTTAAGATGGATAAGAAAAGTGCATGCGTGGCTGCATATTTTGGTGATGGCAGCACCAGTGAGGTTATTAGTGCACATTTCGTTTATCTATTTTCTGTTCCTATTCTTGAATGAAAGCTGCTGAATCGAGCATTCCTTTCAGGGAGATTTCCATGCTGGCTTGAACTTTGCAGCGGTCATGGAGGCCCCGGTCATCTTTATCTGTCGAAATAACGGATGGGCGATCAGTACCCACATAAGAGAACAATTTCGAAGTACTCATCTTGCACTCTTGATGTATTTTTACATACTGATATTAGGTTAGAAGCGCGAGTTCAATTGTTCTAAGTTGTACACCTCTAAGTTAGAAATCATACATAACAAAAAGCTCTGAAGTGGCTACGTGCTATGGCTTTGACAAAAAACTTATCTTCTTGTTATGTATTTTCAGGTGATGGCATTGTCGTAAGGGGTCAAGCATATGGAATCCGTAGCATTCGAGTGGATGGTAATGACGCTCTCGCTGTTTATTCAGCAGTACGTGAAGCTCGTGAAATGGCAATCAAGGATCAAATGCCTATATTAATTGAGGTAGGCCTAATTCTGAGCTATCAGAATCTCACTCTCTTTTCATCTACTCTACGAATTGTGATGCATTAGAAAGATATGATCTACTTTAAGTACATCACTCGCTCATAAGTGGAGCTATAAAGCTGGTATGTTCTTCCTCAAAGAGACGTGGATTTTCAGTGTAAACTGTTGTAATAATGTCAAGTTGAGAATTCTGCTAAATCTATGTTTTCATTTATCCACAGGTCTTAACATACCGAGTAGGACACCACTCCACATCAGACGATTCAACAAAGTATCGACCCATGGACGAAATTGAGCACTGGAAAATGTTGCGGAACCCTGTAAATAGATTCAGAAAATGGGTTGAAAGGAAAATGTGGTGGGATGATAAAAGGGAGGTCGAGCTTCGAAATAACATTAGAAATCAGGTTAAATTTGCATTGTCCTCATTTTATTAAGTTTTTTCTCGCAAGATCGTTTTCAATGCTCGCTCAAACAATGACTGGCATTTGACAATTTCTGTAACGTGATTTTCCTCTTGATAGGTACTCCAAGCAATTCAGACTGCAGAGAAGTATGAGAAACCTCCATTATCAGACTTGTTCAGGGATGTGTACGACGCTCTTCCATCCAATCTTCATGAGCAAGAGAGTCAACTCAGAGAGACCATCAAGAGACACCCAAAAGACTATCCACTCGATGTTCCTGTGTAGATGGACTTACAATTATTCAAGAAAAGAATTTGTCTCTGAAGCAAAGCCTCGGTAATTAGAAAGCGAAGCTTAATAAAATCACTGCCCTGTATACAAGTTGTTTAACATTCATATACAGTGACGGCTATAACATACTTCTAATTGAATTAAGCGATGGTTGCTGATGCAACGTGAAGCTCAAAAGTCGAACGAGGAGCACTCGACTGTCCTTTTGGCCAGTAAAGACTTCAGTGGAGTACCACTAATCAGAAAACTTTGCAAAGTAATCATCAAGTCTTCTGACTTGAACGATTAGCGAATCAAGTTCTTCATCACTGAATGATATTATTTACGTGGCAAAATTTGTCATGTGATGCTGAATCTTCGAGAGAGAGGGGTTGGGGTTAGGGAGGTGGATCGAGTGAGTCGTGAGCTCAAGGAACATGAACCTTTGCTCAGGTGCGTGTTAAAATGCAACAATTAAAAATCTCCCAAAGTCGGGGCCAAGCCAAAGTTCCGGAGTTAACCGACTTATAAGGCTGACGGGTTGTTTCATGGGCCTCTGCACTCCTTCCCCGGAGTTGTCGAAAAGATAATGTGCTGATTAATGAAAAAATAAGATAGAATAGAGCCTCACATATTTGGCTGTATAGTATGAGAAAAAAAGGTAAGAGTCCTCACACATCTGGCTACGATATCAGACGAAATCATGCACTGACATTATGTGCCTCGTAATCTACCCATGTTCACTGTGTCGACGGCAACCATTCTTAACTTCTTATGAACAATGATCCGAATATTCAGTAGCATCTCTTTTGAAAATCCTACGAATCTTCCTCGTCCCTCCAAGGTGAGCACCAAAAGAAACGACCTGATTGAACGAAAATGGAAGAGAGCGAGAATTTTCTGTTTCTTGATCAAAACTCATTGGATAACCAATCTTAGTCTCCACTAATAATTCTCGCCACATCTCTACTCATTCCGTAAGCTGAATTTGTCAAATATGATGCTCTATATATTCTTTTATCTGTTAAACCAAGTTCGATATGAACTTAGATATTCATAAGTCGGATATTTTTCATATCGAATTTGCTTTCGAGTGATCAGCGAGCAATTGCATCCCATGGAGACTCCTCCTTCTCCATCCTATGTTATCGTCGCCTATGATGCTACTAAAGTCCGCAATGAGCACGAATTCGGGGTGACGCTCAACAGCGTGCTTACGAGAGGTGACATTCTTCGAGGAGGCGACACCATCGTCGTGCTTGGGGTGCTACATAAGGTGCCGCACCCTAGTAAGTATCGATGTATCATGTTCTCGGATTGCAATTACTTCAGCACTGTGTTTAACAAATTAGAAAGCCCATCAGCATTCAAAGTTTGATGTGCTTTGGACACTTTCTTAGTCTGACTTCATTGTTCTCAACTTTTTTAGTGTACCATCAATACCTAGAGAAAGGTCGAGTTTATTCATCAAAAGAAAACAATTTAACATTCACTACAAGTTTGTGATTGAGGATGTATTATTTTCCTTGGCATAGTGGGATATCAGCTTGCAACCACAGCAGAACTTTTATCGGTTCGTGCAATGGAGGAAGAAGTCTCCAAGAAGATAGAGACTTTTGAAAACATGTTATTGCAGAGTGCTGAGAAGTGTGAAGACCAAGGGGTAATATTTTTACTTATTGAAGTATCATATACTTTCTATTTCAACTGTTTATGGCTGAATTGATGTTATATATTCTTCATATTTTGTTAACATGCGTCAACCCAGAAGGTAAACAATGAGAACCCACGATTTGTTACAGACACATGACCATGCGAGAATACAAATATGTGTAGAATGTCAACTCAAAGAAAACAGATTCCATAGATTTGCCTAGGACACGCACTTACATTCAATGAGAGCACAAAACCATACTAACAAATGTGTGATTTACCCAAACCATGATGGTATCATTGTAAGCGATCAATGAAATCGGTGTCTCCGTCTTCCTATATGATTCATATCGCAATGTGTACAGAAATTATGATATTTCTACTTTTAATACTATTGATACATGTTTCCCTAAATCATAGGATGTCATTACTTGAACGCCGGAAATTGAAGTTGTTTTATGAAAGCTTTAGGGTTTGAGCTCATGATTTAGAGTTTTAGGGTTTTAGCGTTTAGGATTTATTGAAGGGAGCAAAGAGAACAACACATTGTTCTCCATTACATATATGGCTATTCAAAGAGATAAGCTAATCATTCTTCCCTAGTACTTTTTGTAATTCAGGTAAGTCTTGAAGTTAAAATAACAGCAGGAAACCCACTTAAGCAAGTGATTCTACAAGAGGCCATAACCTGCAAAGCAACTTGGGTCATTCTTGACAGGTATATAACGCTACTTCACTTCCATATTACTACTTAACACATCTTCTAAAATGACAAAAACGAAACGAAAAGAAAAGAAAATATCTCTTATAAATCTTGTGAATTCATCATCTCCTCGTGCATAAAATGGCGAATGTTTTTCATACATAAAAGGTTTTTACATTGGCCTAGCATGTAGTCATGGAGAAACTGCATTGTGGTTGATAATCTTGACAGGCACTTAAGACGGGACTTGAAGTTTTACCAAAAACAGATACCTTGCAAAGTTGGAATGATACAAGATAGTCTGTCGGTGGACGTTTTGAGGGCTGAAACCGTGACCGAGACGAACCCGATCGAGCACAAGTCATTCTACTATATTACTAAGTCCGTTCTGTCAGTTGCTAGCCAAGTCGGGGAGATCACCGAGCAATCCGACATCTCCAACGGGACTGAATCCTTGACAAAGGATGCTATAAAACGCTCTGACATGCTCAGAAGCAACATGACTACATCTGATCTTGAGACTTGTTTTCTAAGTGAAAAAACAGGCAACATCTTATTATTCTTGATAATATGTTTATTAAAGCATATGTATAATCTTTGAGTATAGTATAAGATTGCTCAGCCTGTTTTAAGTCGTTGTTTGTTTCTTGGATATTAATTCACTTGAGATAAAATAATTGTTCGTTTTCTTTTTTTGTGTGTGTTTCAGGAAGGCCGACTAAAGAGGAGAACAATATCATCTCAATCTATCAAGGCATCCAGAAAAAGACCGCCTCTCGGGGCAGATTCTCGGAAGCGCCGATCCTTTGTGCAAGGTGTGGCACGCGGACCAAACTATACATCAAGGATGCTATGCCTTTCAGCTTCAACGAGATACAGCTCGCAACCAAGGATTTCTCGAAGGATAACTTGGTCGGAGAAGGTGGGTACGGCTACGTCTACAAGGGCCGTCTCAAAGACGGTCAGGAGATTGCGGCGAAGGTGCGGAAGGAGGCCAGCGCGCAAGGGTTTATGGAGTTCAATTCCGAGATACACGTGCTGAGTTTCGCGCGCCACAAGAACATTGTGATGCTGTTGGGCTACAGTTGCAAGGAGAACCTCAATGTGTTGGTGTACGAATACATCTGCAACAAATCCCTTGACTGGCATTTATTTGGTAATTGATGTTTCCTTAATTTGAAATTTAAACCAAACTTGCAATTATCAATCTTGCTAGTCATGAAAAAAGAATATGACAAATTCTCTGTGTATAATAATGTCTAATCATCTGTTTCAGTCAAATAATTACTTGAGAAGTGCCTTTTTCGTAGACAATCCAACAAGTGTCTTAGAGTGGCACCGGCGATATGCGATAGCCATCGGAACGGCAAAAGGTCTGCGCTTTCTACATGAAGAGTGTCGCGGCGGCCCGATAATTCATCGCGACATGCGACCTAGTAACATATTACTCACGCACGATTTCGTGCCGATGGTAACTATATGCCATTTCAAGTAGTTCCTATTTACCAAATTAAATTCACGCCTTTGCAATGTGTTAGGTGAATCAAATGTTTCTGGGTCTGATTAAACTTCTGGTTTCACACAGCTAGGTGACTTTGGCCTAGCTAAGTGGAAAACAAGTGATGATCCAGAGCACACAAGGATTCTTGGAACATTAGGGTGAGGATTAATTTGTCATTAAAGTGGATTATTAGAAAAAGAGTTGCACGTTTTAATGCTTAGTTTCTAGTCAAAGCTAAGATTTTTGTTGAAATTTGTAGGTACTTGGCACCAGAATATGCAGAGAATGGGACGGTTTCGATAAGAACAGATGTGTATGCATTTGGGATGGTTCTCTTACAACTCATAACAGGGCGTAAGGTAGTTGACCCTAAGAGGGACGAGCCACATCAGTCTCTGAGACAGTGGGTATGTTCATTCATTGATCAGATCTTCAAGCATTCGAGCAATGTTAATTTGGTTTTTACATTTTATATATCTTTCCGTTTCCTTCTTCTTATAAGTTTTTTATCTATCGAGTGACATTGCAGGCCGACCCGCTCCTTGATAAGATGGAACTGCACGAACTCATCGATGATCGGACCGGCGAGTCGCACGACACATATGAGCTCTACCTCATGGCCAAGGCGACTCACTTGTGCCTGAAAAGGAATCCCGAGTTACGACCCTCGATGAGCGAGGTAATTTCTCTTGATATTTTGCAGATAATTTCACTTTCTTGTACAGGACCAAGTATTTTTGTTTCCTCTAAGATCCATATCAAAAGAGTCCTTTGCTATTGTAGGTTGTCCAGATCCTTGAAGGGAAGAGCAATCGATTCCACAACTAGAGGGAGCATCAAAGTAATCATCTTTAGTTTCTTCTTTAATTTCCCTTTAATGTTTTCGGAGGTACAATCTTGTGCCTGACCTAGTAAAAGCAAGCACCGTCTCCCTCCAAACAATAATAAGTGCCACACTTTTTGCATCATGTGGACGTAGTCAACCGCTCGCTGCATGTCTCTGTCCGTGTAGGCCAAACACCCACATGAAAAGAGAAGGGGAAAAAGTTGGGAAAAAAAAATCTGTACTTTAGGTCCTTATGTTATGAATCAAAATCACCATGTAACACTCCAAAGTTGGACATTGTAGTCTTTAATTGGAGCACAATTTTGGTACGACTCGACTCCCTGGGTTGGGTCTCCATCCATAATCTCATGCCATTACTTGTGTTAGGACTCTTAGGGCGCATTTGGCAACTGGTCAAATAATAACTATTTATATTATTTTATTTCCAGAATCAGTTTTGAAACAGAAATCCGTTTGGTAAATTTTTTGTTCTCGGGAACAAATTTGCAAAAATTTATTTCCACAATCAGTTTTGAAACAGAATCAAGAAGCAAAAAAGTTGCTTCTTGATTATGGGAACAAAAAATCAGAAATGAAAAAGAAATTTTTTCTTCTTCTTCTTTTTCTTGGTTTTCTTCTTCTTCTTCTTCCTGGCTTGTGGCCGGCAAGGGCGTCGCGGCCTTTGCCGGATCCGCCAAAGGCGGCTCTCGCCCAGGCCGCTTGTCGCCCTCGCCGGTGCCGGCGACCTAACCATGGCCAAGGAAGAGGAAGAAGAAGAAAAAAAAGAAAAATAAAAAGAAAGAATATTAAAAAATTCAAAATATTATTAATAAAAAGAAATTTTGTGCAGTTATCAAATGCATTTCTGTTCTTTTTCTATTCCAAGAATAGAAATTTTTGGCAGTTACCAAATACCATCAAATGCTTAGAAATTGTTCACGGGCACGGAATAAAAAAAAATAATTTCTGAATAGAAATTGTTTACGGGAACAGAATGGTTGACAAACGCACCCTTAACCAGAGAATAATATTTCGGTCCGCGTACATACTTTGGGTCCGAAGTTGTTTTAGCTCATGTGGTAATGAAGTTTAGCGCAGTCGATTCGCGTTTGAAAAAGTCCGCTATTCACTTCCTTTGGATGAGCTTCAAGATTCTTGAATGAACCCACTACAATGGTCCCGACTTCGTGCTTTGAGTGCTTTGAGTACTGAGATACCGAATTTTGGTAGGGTATGGATCAACTTTGACCTCTCATGTATAGGGATCAAAAGTATGCTTTCCCCCGAAGAAAAACTATACCCTATTGTCATTGTAACAACTTGTAGGTCTTGGCCTAAGGTAAATTTTTTTTTTCATTTCAGTTTATGTGCCATTCCCCTCTTTCTTAGAGAAAAAGGAAAAACAGCTTGTATTAGATTATTTGAGCAAAAGTGTGATTCTTCTTACACTATGAACAAAAACAATACCATGCCTCCGTCTTTCATGACGCAGACTGAAGATACTCAGGAAATGATTGTTAAAGCTTTCTCTTTTCTCTCTCTCTCTCTCTCGTGCCCTATTCATCATCTTCCATCTTCTTGGATGGGTCCTCTACCCTCCATGCGCATCTTCGCTGTGCCTTTCTTTCCCACTCGCAATCACACCTCGAGGCATTCTGTGTGTATGAAGTTGACCAAACAACACAGTACTCTGCGAACGGTGGAATGATTGCATTAATTGAATTGGAAAGATAGAGTTCGGAAATGGGGGAGCAAAGGGCAAAAAGAGATGAACAGACATGGTTGGGATGGTCACTTCGACAACACTGTTTGAAGAGACATCGTGGTTGTTTTTGAGCACCCGTTGGTACCCCACCGACGCAAAGTGCTACAGCAGCGCGAGGCTTCTCTTGAGATCATCTGCATCCCAAAGAGAGAGAGAAGCTGTCTTTACTATTGTTTTTGGTATTTTCAAGCCTTTTAGACCATTCGAGTAATCTTATTTCGAATCATGGTAAGTCTTCTAACCCTACAACGATTGGGCTGTTTCGATTTCTTGCACGGTCTCGAACTTTGATTAACGTATATCAACAATTGCGAAGCTCTTACTTATAAGAAACTTGAATAGATTTTTTATAAAAAAAATTATCCTCGCATATTAGAGATAAGGAGTTAAACCAAAAGCACAACTCATGTGGATTTATTTTTTGTTTGCACAATCAATCTTTACATGAAAACAACGATTCTTATAAGAGATTAGAGAACAAAGTTTACTCGCTCAAATAAACTGTATATAGATCGTTGTGAGTTGCATGCTTGAATAGAGAGGATAGAATTACTTTGCTCGACCAACACGATGATGCATAAAGTAAAAAAGAACAGGGATACTGATACAAATAGTCCATAAACTTTGGCCCAATGTGCAATATGGTCCATGAACTTTTAATTTGTTGAATATGATCCTTAAACTTTTGGTACATATTCAATTTAGTCCCTAAATCATATGAAAATATTCAATATTATCCTTTCATTAATTCAAAATCAATGATAAGTTTGAACATTTTCCATATAGTTCATGGATTAAATTGAACATATACCAAAAGTTCATGGACCACATTGCACATTAAGCTAAAGTTTAGGGACCGTATTGAATAAATTAAAAGTTCAGAGATCATATTATATATTAGATTAAAGTTCATGAATAATTTGTGTCATTTTTCAAAAAAAATATGAAGGAATCATCATGGGTTGTGTCATAACCATTCATGAAAAAAATGAAGTAATTCAAGGTAAATAGACCATCCATAAAAATGAGGGATCCATGCCAAGTCATGGAGAATCAATTGGTTGGGGAATTTTGATAATTCCTTAAAAGTGAGAAGGTGTGGTGCAGAGAGGGAGGGCCTTGATCCACTCAAAATAAGGAAAAAGCCAGACAAAGACAGGATCCAATTTGACAGCAACACTTGTCAGCCCTATGCATCTTCTACAGTTGCCCACATTTTATTCTCTTGAGACCTACACAGTGCATTTTTCTTAATCTTTTCCTGATTTTGGAAAAAAAATAATTTGAAATAAATGTGTAAGCTCACTTTTTAGGTTATATTTGAGTGATATGTCGAACAAAATTATCATAAGACAAATAATATATCGAAACAGGTAAAAAAATTTTCCAAGTGACTAAAATGAGTTCGATATTGTTTGAAGATGCAAACGATTTAGGTTCATAAAATAAAATTATAGAATAACGGTCCACAAACATTTAATTTGGTGGAACCTTATCATGGATATGTGGTAGTTGATGCTTTTGTATATTGTTGAGCATTGCTTTTGGCTTAGTTCCATCTTTTTCCCATTTCTTTGATGTCTTCTTGGGAATTATTTACTTTCTATTCCCTTTTCTTTTTTCTTTTTTCTTTTTTTTTTTCGGATCGACATGCTTTGCCTCTACATAAAATTTAAGGTAAAACGAGATGTTTTTTTTTCTAGTGTGAACAGAGGAGTAAGCATATTTGTTCCTTCCATTTCCCATTTCTTTAATCAATAAATATTAATTTACACCGGCAGATTTATCTTATTTGTTTTAAAGAAAAAGCGATGTCTACAAACGAAATGAGTTACACTGAATAAAGAGAAAATGAAAGAAACATTAGCAAAAAAAATAAAAAGATAGAACAATTCTCATACATGCTCGACTCATGTGAGCTCAATGTATATGAAATGTTAGATTAGTCTGATCATGTATGGTTTCGCCAAATCAACATATCTATTTGCCTCATGAGAGTTGAATGCAAGAAATAAATTTGGTTTTGTTTAAGAAATGCGGCTTTTTTCCTAATGTATTAGAGTTTTGTCCCCCACTAATCAAAATTTAGAAGGTTTTTACTCAGAAATGTTCATAGGTTTATTATAAAATTTAGGGTTAATATCACAGAAAAACCCCAAAACTATACCCATTGTGACATAAATACCCTGAACTTTTTTATGTCACTAAAAACCCTAAACTTGCCCATTATGACACAAATACCCCAAACTTTTTTTTGTATCATAAAAAACTTCGAACTTATACTAGTATGACAAATATTCACCGGATGAAACCGAAATAGAGCATATATTCGTGACACAAAAAAGAGTTTGAGATATTTATGTTACAATGGGCAAGTTTAAGGTTTTTTGTGATATAATTTTTAGGCATAATTACCCCAAAATTTCGTAGTTTTTACTGTATTATCTGTATTTCTAATCAAGTATGTTTATTGTGTTTATTAAGAGTGAAAATTATGTGCCTCCAAAGTAGTGATCAGAGCTATGGACAGGACAGCAATGGCCAGCACATGTCCGCTCTGCTCTAAACGGCAAAACCAAGCAGCCCCCATGCGCATATTCCTCGAGCGCGACGTCTCTTGCACGCAGCATCTGACGCCCCACGTGGAAGCGCCTCGGCCGCCCGCCTCGCCCCCGAGCCGGCGGCGCGTGGGCAGCGGGGTCGTTCCGCGGCGAGTCGCCCGCGGCCGAGCGATCTGACGCACTTTGGGTTACGGTTGGTGGTCGTGACAGACAAATGTTGGGTCGCCGCGTCACTGGCAAAAAGCAACGATCGGGCCAATTCATGCTCATTTGTCTTAACGACCCGCACCCCCAAGAAAAAAGCTGATATTTAAAGAACAGAGCTACTCTAGGTCCACGCAATCTCTCATGGTTCCTTGCATATTTTATTGTGCACGCAGAGAGAGAGAGAGAGAAAGAGTGTTGTGTGTTGTGCTGTGGGGGGGAAGAAGTGGTAATCCAACGTAGAAAGCCGAGGATCCTATCAAGAAACCGAAAAAGAAACGTCGAAAGCTGAGGTACGAGAATTGCCATTATTTAAAATAGGAAGAACCAAGGTAGTGGTGGGTTTGTTTGTGCTGCTTTGATATTACTGGGTGAGCGCTCTGTTGGTGTTGCGGGGGTGACAACAGTAACGACTTCTGCAAAAATGTGAAGAGACGAAGCTCCTCCTTCTCCCGCAGGTACGGACCTTTGAATGAATGAGTGCTTCTCTTCCTTGGTCCTCTTCTCTGTTTTTTTTTCCTGATTCGCTTGTTCTTTCTGTGCTCTTGAGTTGAGGATACAAAACCCAGAAGTGGATGACCGTTCTGAACCAGTTGTTTCATTTGAAATGTCGTGACTTTGTCATATGTATGATGAGTGTCATTGTCGTTAATTTGTTCTTGTTTATGAGGTGTGTGAGCTGTCTGAGTTTGCTCCTTCCTAGTTGACACTCCGCTTTATCCATTATCTGTGTTGTTACACGACTCTCTTTTGTCCCCTTTATTTCCGTTTTTGGTGAATTGTGTATAAGGTCTATCAATTCCCTCACTTTGCTCCATTTTTCCATTCAAAGACATTCCTTGAATTTCCAGGAATTCAATTCCCCCAAGATGTTCCGACCCAAAAAAAAAATTTCCATCCGAGATTTTTGAGCTGGCACCATTTTCTTGAACATTCCATATAGTTAATCTCTCTCTCTCTCTCTCTCTCTCTCTCTCTCTCTCTCTCTCTCTCTCTCCAGTTGCTTTCATTAAGAACTGAAGAAATTGTGTTGCTCTGTTCTTGGGAAAACGCAGGTTTCTTCCTTGGCCATTTTGCCGGAGAAGTGAATTCTCAGAATAATTGGTAAGTACTGTTACTGATGATATCAAGCAACTCCATCATATAGTTCATGCCATGTAGTAAGAAAATTTACTTCTCCAAGAAATAATCCGTGGGGGAAAAATGTTTTCTTGTCCCTTTTTCTTTTGTGCACAATGGAGTGTAGAACCTTCAAGCAGCTGATTCTGGAATGAGTACTGTGAAGGATAGAGAACCATTGAAAGAATTCTGATTTTCTGGCGATCTTGTTTGCACATTTTATGGTTAGCTCGTGGGAATAATGATGAATAGGAAATTGTTTTCTTGCCCCAAGAAAACACAAAGTGATAAGGAAAGCAATGGCGGCTGTGTTGTCCATTTTGTTGTCCAACTTGCAAAGACAAGTTGCCGAGAAACTCTGAGGAACCTGTTCTTTCTTGTGGTTGCAATGATGCTTTGCCACAAACTTCCAAAATAGTCAAAATTATTGTGTGTCTCATTGTGCCATAATTATTAGGTAATTACCAGTTAGCATCCGTCTTTGTTTAAGTGCAAAATTTGGGATTTTACAACTTTTTCCATACAAAATATTCTTAATTCGGGTGGTTCAACAGGTTATACGTCTGGAGAGAGAGAGAGAGAGAGAGAGAGAGAGAGAGAGAGAGAGATAACCAACCAAGTGCTCGGTTGACTTTAGTTGTGCCGGTGTCATTGACGGGTCAATCATTTGTAGATGAAATAAAAATCAAGTCCCATGGGGTTGACCTTTCAACTTTTTCTTTTCCTGAAAATGGGGCATCTGCTACTATTTGCGTACTCATTCATCCCTAATGGGTCTATACACATTTCTTTGGATTGATGCCATGGTTATACTTATTTGCTGGGTTCTCTAGTAACCTGTCTGACGAGATTTTGTTTCAAGAAAACTGTTGAATTAATGGGAGAGCAATCGAAGACTCAAATAGAATTCTTCTAGAGGCGGTATTACTAGTGAAGTATGATTAAGTAAAATTTTGGCCGTGTTACTATTTATGCTCAGTACAATGCAACGGAAACTTTGGATAGTTTGCTGGACCAAGTCGCTCGGAATCTTGACCTAGTAATTACTTATATTATTTCTGCAGATATCAGAGGGTTTGATCTGTTGATTCTTTGTGCAGATTATGCTATCATGATGTGAGCATATCTTCAAAATACAGAGAGGAAGGCGATTGCGGTAATTCTGAAATTCAGTTTATGGCCTCAAGAAGAAGGTTCTTGGAGTTTGAAAACCAAAAAACCGCCTCAACTGGAATGTCCCCTATATGAATAATAAGAGTAATGAGAAAAATTTGAGTATATTGCCGCTTTGACGATTCTGATGCACCGTTTTACAGGTTAAAGAGATAGAGACCGCCTTCCTTGTGTGAAAATTTCTTTATAATGGCTAAAGTTTGTTGGCCATACTTTGATCCCGAGTATGAGAACCTCAGCACAAGGATCAACCCTCCAAGGTTCTCTCTCTCTCTCTCTCTCTCTCTCTCTCTCTCTCTCTCTCTCTCTCTCTCAATTATTATTGTCCGAGTTATATAGAAGAAATATGAGCTTTCTCCATTGTTTCTCGCTGTTTTGCATCACTCGTTTTTCAATGGGAGCACATTCTTATATCAATGCCTCTTGCAGGGTGTCTGTTGACAACACCAGTTGCAGCGATTGCACACTTGTCAAGGTAAGATTTTTCTTACAAGTAAAAAGGTGGGAGGGGCGTCTAGCAACCCTGGGTGTTCCACACCCACGACAGAGTGAATACTTCTGTTGATGACCCTCTAGAAATCCGTAGCATTATCCCTTGGCTTTATTTGAGTAATAGAAGGCTTTGTAAATTTCATTGCCCCTTCTCTGAGCTTTTCTTAGGCTCGGTTATTTTGTTATGCGGAGCCACAATATAAACCGATATCTTTGAGAAACCGATGCTCAATACTACAATATATGGCCGAATACAAGGAATGTTGATCAACTGTGCAATGTTTGCTTGTACAAGTAGGCAAAATATAGACTATTCATGTTTTGTTTGTTTTTACACTCCTCTGACAGCAAAATCGAAGTCTTAGAAATGACCAATAAAAATCATGCAATCTAGCTTGACACTCTGGTTTGGAAGAGTGGTCATCTACATTTGCATACACACAATGTAGTACTAAAGTCACAAAATTTCTGCTAATTTGGATACATGATAACCATGCTCTGGATATCCAGGTTGATAGCATGAATAAACCAGGGATACTGCTAGAAGTCGTACAAATACTGTCCGACCTTGATCTTATCATCACCAAGGCCTACATCTCCTCTGACGGAGGATGGTTTATGGACGGTATGAGTCTGCCAAAGATTCTAGAATTCAAGAGTCAGTCATAGCAATCTCATCATCCTCACTGTGCAACTTGTCTTTATGTAGATTATTTCATCAAGCATGAGTAGTGATGTTTTATTTTCTTTGAATCAACAGTGTTTCATGTCACCGATCACCACGGAAAGAAAATCACGGATTCTAAAACCATTGACTACATAGAGAAGGTAAATTGTTTTCAATGTTTCTTGAATCTGCATTTACTGCTTTCTTCGTGTCAGAAAAAGAGAAAACATAGCGTCTCTGCAATAGGTTTCACTGAGAGGTGTTAGACTTGATGAGAAGAAAAGTGAGACACCAATTTCATGCCATGAATCCTCTCCTTTCTAACATTATAAAAGGGAATTCTCTGATGTATTCTTTCCCACAGGCTTTAGGTCCAAATGGCCACCACACAGATCGAACCAAGACCTGGCCGGGAAAAAGAGTTGGAGTGCACTCAATCGGTGATCACACAGCTATTGAGCTCATTGGCAGAGACCGCCCAGGTCTCCTATCCGAAATCTCTGCCGTCCTAGCAAACCTTGACATTAACGTGGTAGCTGCCGAAGTTTGGACGCACAATAGGAGAATAGCCTGCGTCCTTTATGTCAACGATAAGATTAATTGCTGTGCGGTGGATGATCCAAACAGACTATCGATAATGGAAGAGCAGCTCAAAAACCTCATCCGTGGGTATGACGATGATGAAAAAGTGGGCCGCACCAGTTTCTCCATGGGATTCACACATGTTGATCGCCGATTGCACCAGATGTTTTTCGCCGATAAAGATTATGAAAATTGCGGAGTGACAGCCGATGCGGACGAGTATTCTCCCTTGATGAAACCCAAAATCACCGTCGAGCATTGTAAGGAGAAGGGGTATTCGGTGGTTAGTGTGAGATGCAAAGACCGAGCAAAGCTACTTTTTGACATAGTGTGCACGCTCACAGACATGCAGTATGTTGTTTCTCATGCTACTATCTCGTCTGATGGCCCAGATGCATTACAGGTTATTCCTTGATAAATTTTCTCAATAAGCTTGTCCATCATCAACTTTCTCCCTGTAGTACAGACATGGAAAGACTATTCCCAAATGAAACAAAATTGGTCATTCCTACTGGCATCCACAGGCAAAAGTAATTTAATTGCATTGTCTGAAATGGCTTGGTCAGCACTGAATCATTGAAATTGTTATGCATCAGTACGTTCAGCAGTAGCATCAGTGATGAAGAGTTAGACCTTGATATCCTTCAGAAGATGACATTCAGCCTATTAGCTTGGGTATCTTATCTTCTACATAATGCCTACATGCTCATCGCTCTGATTGGCGTAGTTAAATATCCAAACTGAAAAGTGTTAATATTGGATTCTTGGAGAAAGATAACCCATGGGTAGGAAAGATTGATGAGTTACCAAAAAGGTCCAAGTTAAAGACATTAAAAATTCTGTTGATTAAATGCCAACGTCATCCTCTGTAAACACCTCCCAGGAATGTTGGATTGTGAGGCGCTGCTTAGTGTGTCATTCATTTTCCAGTATGAACATTTAAATTACAGCAGTTTGGATGACATATTAATCTGCTATTTATGGCTTAACTTGATCAGTTGAATCATGAATATGTGCTGAATTAGTTTTGTGATCTTGCAGGAGTATTACATTCGTCATATGGATGGTTGCACTCTTGATAGTGAAGGAGAGAAGGAACGGGTCATGAAATGTCTGGAAGCAGCAATTCGGAGAAGAGTAAGCGAGGTGCGTCAGAATCCTCACATGGATATATAGAGCAGAATTCCCATTCCCATATCACCCACTTTCACACTTTCAATGTAGATACACAACCAAGGAAAAAAAATTGCAATTTTGAAAACTGTCCTTTAGTCATCCTCTTATTGCATACTGTCTACATGTTGATGTTTCTCAGGGTTTAAGCCTAGAGCTCTGCGCAAAGGATAGAGTAGGACTGCTATCCGAAGTGACGAGGATCCTACGAGAGAACGGGCTGTCGGTTTCGAGAGCGGGAGTCACCACGGTTGGGGAGCAAGCCATGAATGTGTTCTATGTGAGAGATTCCTCGGGGAACCCTGTGGACATGAAAACCATCGAGGCGCTTCGCAAGGAAATTGGACATACAATGATGCTGAACGTGAAGAAGGTCCCGTCCAGCGGGAGCGCCAAGGCTCCCGAGTCCAGTAATTGGGCCAAAACAAGCTTTTTCTTCGGGAATCTGCTAGAGAGATTCTTGGCTTGAAAACCAAAAGAAGCAAAGAATGTCCATAAAGGTTGGTAACAAGCACTGTCCAAATGTATAGAGAATAAGCCATTTGTGGACAAAATGCAGGCACGGCCGTGCTTCCGTGCATCTGTGGTGGTAATTGTAAGATATGATGCTTGAAGTATGATTTGCTTTGATCTTCTTTCTTGCTTTATGGCCAAGAACATCAAAGGCTGACATATAAATGTAAAACTTGCTTGTTCTTGGATATGTGGATAATTTCTGGTTCTGGTCATGCGAGGCATTACAATATTTGCCTATGCGGATTCTTCTTCTTTTTTTTTTTTATAACTTTTTTGCTGCTAGTAATCTTTGATACAGTCAGAAAAATCACATGCCTCCAAAATCGCTGAGGGTGGAAGTAGAACCTAATCCCGATACAGAATCTTCTGAAATCTGAGAAATTTTTTGACCCGCTTTTACTTAAGTTCACCTTGAGGTAGTATTATCAATAAATCTCAGTCAAACATTTGCTGCGGAAAGGCACAGAACGTACCTGATTAATCCCCTTGAGAAGATGTTCTTTAATGACATCCAGTTTTCGCAAACTGAAGTAGCTTTCGTGTTCATTCCATCTTCTCGACATTCATCCTAAGCCGAAGTTTGCATTTCTTTTGCTCCTAAAACTCAATGCAAGATCGCCTTTTTGCTGCCAAATTCGTTGGCTGCTTTTACCATGCTACCTTTCGATACAGGGTCGGATATTCACCAAAATTGTGATTTTATTTCATTTCATTATATAATTTTTTATGGCATCTTAGGTAGTTCAGCATAATATCTTAGCTGATATATTTTCTGTTTTAGAGTTATCTTGTTCTAGTGTTTGAATCACGACTTTTCTAAAGTTTGTCAGAATGTGAAGTTTATGTATTAGTTTAATTTCCATTTTAAAAACCGCCTTTGACATTGGAATTGGAGAATAACATTGAGAGTTTATCTCTGTGCCCTTCGAGCGGGTTGTGCATTCATGCGCGCTTGTGAGTTTGACTCGTGTCGCGAGTTGTTTTCACTGCCGTAACCTTTTGTATGGATTCAGCTCTGGGATACTACAAGTCATGTAATACAAGATAAAGAGGAGTTTTGTAGATGCACATACTCCGAGAGACAGTAGCATTTTGGCTTTGATGCCGGCTTGGGATCGAATTTATTCCATAATCATCTCTCTTAGCAGGAGCGTCAGTATGGTATAAATCACAGCAATACTCGAAACATCATCTGTCAATGTATACATGCATCCTCTCCTGACGAGAAACGGTGAGTTTCACACTCGCATGTACGCGACAAGTCGTTGGAAACACGTCAAACCACCTTTTTCCCAAGTGCGGCATGACACAGAAAATGACCATAAACAGAGGAACAAAAGAACAAAAACAAAAACGGCCAGCAGTGGTATACTGACACCTCAAATGCATATCCATGGCCTGTGCAAATTCTCAGTCTATTCACCCATTTCAATCATTTCCCTCCTTTTGCATCCACTCATGCAAGGACATGGGATGCATGGGGACGCGAACTTGTGCCGAATACATGATCGCCTCCGCGAGATCAGTCAGCAAAAAACAAAGTTCACTCCTTGCGAGGAGGAAAAGAAGATGGATCAAGATATCATTTAGAAAATGCAGAAGAATCATAGCTAAAATGCACAGAAGAAAGATAAAGAAAGGATGCAATCGTACTGTGCAAATAATATAAAAATGATGTTGCATAACGTATCGAATATCTGCAGCCATTGATAGAGCATTTCGATGGACCCCCACCACTATGGATGGGTGTGGAAGTTGGGCAGTACGTGGTGATGATAAAACTAATATTTTTCTTGCTTTTTGCACAGCATTTCCTCCGTCTTTGTCTGCACTAGTAGCATCATACCCAATTTGAATATATACTTACACACATGTATGGATCAGTGCGGATTTAAAAAACTATACAAAGTCCTGGAAGTTACGTGTTCCGTATTTAGGTGAACCCAAATTTTTTTTTTTTTTTTTTTTCTCTTAAAAAAAAAAAAAAACCCCTACAAGAGCGTAATATTGCTTTGCACTAGTTCAAAATCTTCACCTTTACTATCGACCTGGTGTATAAAAAGTGAGCAAGCTATTTGTGTTGAATTTTCACGAGAATAATATTAAATTAGAAGAAGCATGTGATATCATTTAAAAGTTACAATGAATATATTTTAAAATTTGATGCTTATTATACTTTGAACTTGTCGCTGCTGTAAAAATAAGCTTTAAAATAGTAATATGAGTTTAAGAAAAATCGAAACAATTAAAGAAAACCAGAGTGACAATAGTTGATTAAAAGTATTTTAGTGTGTTGACAAACACTATTGGATGGGCTAAATGTTAATCGATATAGTCTTAATTGACTTTACAAAGTTGATTAATTTGTCTTATATTTCCTTCAATGAGTCCAAACACATGCCCATAGAAGCTAACACCCGTTATGAAATTAACGACATGAAGTTTTAGATATTGTTACCAAATGTAGCTAGGTCGATTAGATGTTAACCAAATATCCAAGTATCTCGTCTTCTTGGTGAAAGCAAAACCTAGACACATAATTTTCTTTTATTACTTTTTTGAAATCGTAGGTAACTTTTTATTTATTTATTGATTTTTCTGATTTTATAGTATTTATTTGTTTGTCCTTTTGTCAAATATTGTTGACTGAAGTACACTTTATTATGAGAATTTATTCAAGACTTCTTAAGATCTATATAATACGAAACTCCTTCAAAAGCTGATTCAAAAACTTATTGTAATCCTTAATTCAAAATTTATTATGATAAATTTTGAAGTGATGAAATTATCTTTGATATTAGTTTAGGAGCTGAATTGGCATTCATATAATAAATTTAGGACTGATTGGCTACTTTTCCCATCGTATGACTGTAGATTCTTACCATAATATGCAAATGAGTTAGAACTTTGCTAAGATCAAAGATATCAACTTTTCAAATAATCCTCTAATATTATTTATTTACCAAATATCAGCTAATAATCTTAGATGAAAAATACCCATGCAAGTACGCGCAATCGTGGAATATAATTTTTACCATATAATTCAAATTTTTAAGCATTTATTTTCTCTTTTCTATAACTTATGTGCACGAATTTGTTCCAGTAACTTTTCAATTCGTCGCCTTCAAAATTCAGCCCGTGTAAGTTAACCGAAAAACTTCCTTCTCATCAACATGAAAAATCATTGCAATTATACGGTTACGTGAGCGAGACAAATTAAATAATATTTTAATATTTTTTTGAATTTTTATCTCAAAGTAGAATCAATGCACACGATGTACATATGTTTATTTTTTTCCTTTTTTCTTTTTTTTTTTGAAATCAATTGGCTTTTGAATGCGTAAAAAATTGATATTCAAGGTAGTCTGTGGTAATGCTTTCTGACTTTTTTGTTTTTGGGGTTTCGATGTCATCGCTCGATCTTGATAAGCTAGGCATGCTATACAGTAACTTCTTAGTGCCAAAAGGGCCATAGTTCTTTTTGAATTTTGTCCTCACCCCCAAATCAAATCAATCAGGGGTAAGAAGGATTTTGATTCGTGGGAACGAAAGAGAAATGTACTTGGACAAGAAGTATCGGACAATTCATTCGGTGCGAAACGCGGGGATTATATGGCTCTACGGAACAAATGAAAAGAATAATAATAACGTGACAAAACGTATAGATTCTTACATATCTCTACATGTCTCCCTCGTCATCAAGATGAACATAGCAATATGAAGAGAGAAAAAAAATAAAAAATGTCTGATAAAGGGTCGAAACTTGATTGAATTTTCTTTTTAGAGGTTTAGAACTTATTTGGATCAGCACAAAGATTTAGAACTTGACTGTACCGATGAAAAGACTTGAAAGTTCGATTCTGTTTCGCGCGCGCTTGTGTATACATAGAATGTAGGACTTGATGCACGAATTAAAAGATCTAAAGTTCGATTTTATTGGGTAGCAAATGTTGGAGTGATGATATGCTCTCTTTTTTTTCATATTGATTGCCTACACGAAGAGAACAGCTGAGGACCCATCTACTCAAGGTAATTCCTTTCTCTCCACGACTTGGTCATATTACACGATCCGACAATCTCGAAGGGTAGGCTATCGCCTCGACCATGGCGAGGCTCGAGCCTCGCCGGAGGTCGCCGCGCGGGGGCCCGTACGGTTATTATTCCTAGTGAAATTGTTTCAGCTCGTCTAGTTTATGAGCCCTAATGTTTCATCAAGAATTTTTATCTAACTCTTAAACCTGTACCTGTGTGGCACATTTATCTTTCGTCAAAATTCCGTTAGCGAGATTCCTTAAAAATCTACATATGTGGACAACGAAAGGTAAATGGTGTTAACATGATGCTCACGTGAATGACATCGTTTTGGCTAGAATATTATATAACGGAGTGTACATGGATTTTTTTTTGTCACGATAAAATGTTTAAGGTAAATGTGTCATAATAGACATAATTTGGGATTTTTAAATGCGACAAAAAAAAAATTCAGAGTAAATGTACCGTAGTGGGTATGGTTTGTGGATTTTGCTGACTTTTTCCCTAGATTATAACTTGCTGATTAAAAAAAAAAACTCGAATAAACATTTGTCCATAAAAACAACTTCTACTTATTTTTCTTTCCATTTCTTTAGTAAGTCCTCCCAAATATTACAAAGCTTCCACAAATTTTCGAAATTTCGCGTTTAATGGGAAGGACAAATTAATTATGAGATGCCGTCTCGGGAAAATATTTCGAAACATCTTTTCGGTTTGTAGATGTTAAAAAAACTAGAGCAATCCTCGAGTCATCATAGTGTAAACAAATAGGCATCCGAGGATCTCGTTGGAGCTTCAGCTCCCGCTCTTTAGTGAGCTTAATTCTTAACCGAACACCCAGGACTCAAAGAATCACGCACCGACGAGTAAAAATAAAAAGCGACAGTTATTGGTTTAGTTGGGGAGGGAGCGGCTTCGGTTTTCAGCAAATGGAGAATCTCCTACGCACACGCACGGACTTCATTTGTCTCCTTCATCGTGCGCTTCCTTTTCGCTTTATACCCTCTTTTCAATTTTAGAAAACTTTATCACATAGAGGAGGGAAAAAAATCAAAATAAGAATTCACAATTTCCTCATTAATCCGCCTTCATTTCTCCGTCACCCTTTTTCCCCTTGACTCAAAAGGATTAGGACGGGCGGCACATCACCTCTCTCACTATTACCCCCCCCCACATCTTAAATAAAACGGGCTTAGCGACGGAAATTGAGGCGTGAGATCGCCGGTGTCGTTCTGCCTGCTTAGGTCGAGTGACATTAAATATCTTGAATTTTTATCTAAACCTAGCTCATAAAAAAACGAAAAGACTCAGTCTCTAGTCGCTCTCTTGCTCGATCGACGTGGATTAAATCTAAGTAAGGATCTACATAAATTTTACCCAAATAATTTCTTATCTTGATGGTAATATCTACTTGGTGATTAATTTAGATGGATGGTAATGGTAGAATTTCTTCTTCCGAAACCTCAATTTACGTGAATTTTTTCTCTTTTTTTTGGGCCAAACTCATCAATATCGTGAATCGCAAAGCAAGGCGCTTTTAGTTTTATCGCAAATTTTTAGCACTCCCCCCCCACGAAAAGCAGAGGAAAAGAAAAAAAAAAGGTGGGGCCCAAGAGCGCTCACCTGTCGTGTCGCGCCACGTGGAAGTCTACGAGTCGCTAGCTCGCCTTCCCCTTCCCTTCCTGTACGTCTCCCTCTCTTTTTTTTTTTCGTTCTTTTTAATGTTTTTTTATTTTTTTTCGTTTTCTTGGATTTTGCCCCGTCCCTTTTTTTTTTTTTTTTTGACTCAGCCCCGTCTTTAATAAGCGCCAAGACAATCTCTTTCGTCCTTCTTCTTCCTTCTTCCTTCTTCTTCGCCTGTGTTTGTTGACAGCGGAAGAGGAGACGAAGAGGACCCTCCTCGAGACTCCCGAGACCAAGCAAAGAATCCACCCCCCCGTCTCCGCTTCGAAAGTTGCAGGTGGGTATTCAACCCGTCATTTCTTCTTCCCGTCGGCCCTCTTGCTTCTTCCTGTTCTTGTTCTTGTTCTTGTTCTTTGCTTTGTTGGGTATCTCTTTTCCTGATCATCTTCTGTCGTGATTTTTCTCCATCTGGGTCTTTGACGATATGTTGGGCTGCTAATCTTTCCACCTTCGTTTTCCTCTTTCGTTTTTTTGTGCTGAATCGATAGCAGGTGGTGGAGGAAGCGTTTTGTTGTTTTGGTGTCCTGCTAATTTAGCTCAAGTTGTTTCTTTGTGACGGCCTCTTGGTTGTACAGTCTGCCCCCTGTCGAGGGTAATTTTCAGAGTTAAGTGATGGAACTGATGGATTTCTCGTGGTCCAGTTTCTCACAGCACCGACTCTGTTTCAGAGGATGAACCTTGGAGGAATTCCGTTTCCTTCTAATATGATCATGTACACCGGTCGATGCTTGCCTTAATCGAGTAACGCGCGTGTTTGGTGTCGTCGCGTGACTGTAAACTCCTTCTGTGCTGTGTTCACGACGCCCTATGATCTTGTTTATTGGTCATGACACGCTTGGGTCATTCTGATCTCGTACTCTGACTACTCTCTTGTCGTTTTACAACTTGCATTCAACTGAAACATTGTCCTGTGCTCACTTCAACGGGAGTTTCTAATCGAAAAAGTTGTTGCAGGTTGTGCCTAGTGCGAGTGAAATGGTGGTCGGGAATAAATTGAAGGCTGAGGACTTGAACTTGTGCTTTGAAAGCCTGATGATGGTTGGGGGCGGTAGCGATGGGAAGGCGAAGATGGACTGTGGAGTCATCACCGAGTGGAAGGACATACCTATGGAGTTGTTGCTACGGATCATGTCGCTCGTCGATGATCGCATGATAATTGTCGCTTCTGGGGTTTGCAGCGGATGGAGAGACGCGATTGGCCTCGGCCTCACGCATTTATCTCTGGTGTGGTATGTAATTTCCGCTGTATCCCTCCACCTGATGTTGGGAACTAAATATGTCTTGTTGCTTAGCTAGGACTATGAGCAGTAGAGTTTTCTGTGACTTTAATTGCTCTGTGACTTCAGTTGAAGAGGATAGGTTTAATCTTGATTTCTCTTTTCGGTCTGTTGATCACTTCAATAGGTACTGTGCCATAATGATAAGTCTAACTACACATTCTACTTCTAGTATTTTGTATGCGTATGTGCTACTTAGGACTATGCATTAACAGGTTTATGACAATTTTGTATTTTCTGGAGTCAATTGCCTTCAGTTACATGCAAAACAGTTGAGCAAGCTAAATATATCTTTATTGTGAAACGGGCATTCAATTTGTTTTTATTACTCAGTTGGTGCCAACCCAGACTATTGGCAGAAGGAGTTTGTAAATTCATTGATTTCTTCTCCCAGTGTGAAAATTTTGTGAGAATGTTTGTTGTTAGAGCCTTTCTGGATACTATCAAGCCAGATTTGGGTCTAGCAGTCGTTCTTCCTTCATTAATGACATTCAATCTTGCTCAAACTGAGGGTTAGTTATTTTAATATTTGTGAGGGCATCAATCTGGAAAAAGAAAGGAAGTGATGTGTTTCTTGTGCTTCACTCCTGGACTTCTGTTTCTGGTGCACTTTGTATGATGAACTTGACATCAGCTTTGTGAATGTGGCTCCTGATCTGATTGCACACAGTCCTTTCTTTTCGTAAGTGAATCACTGTATGATATTGGGAAAGATCTTGGAGGACATCAGCCAAGAGAATTTCTGCATCACTTGTATCTTAATGAAGTGTTCTTGTATGATGTGTTTCTTTGTGATATTTCTGTATAATGTGTTTCTTCGTGATGCGGCTTTCATGTTATATTTTAGGTTAAAGAAGAACATGAACAACTTGGTCCTATCTCTTGCCCCCAAGTTTACGAAGCTGCAGACATTGGTGCTGCGTCAAGACAAACCACAGCTTGAGGACAATGCTGTTGAGGCCATCTCAACTTACTGTCATGAGCTCCTAGACCTGGACCTTAGCAAAAGCTTCAAACTTACTGACCGCTCCCTATACGCTCTAGCCCGTGGATGTCCTAATCTCAGTAAGCTCAACATTAGTGGGTGTTCAGCATTTAGTGATGAAGCTCTCGAATACCTGACTAATCTATGTACGCAATTGAAGATTTTGAATCTTTGTGGATGTGTTCGGGCAGCATCAGACCGTGCGTTGCAGGTTTAACCAACTTGTTCCCTTGTCTCATGTCATTTCTCTGTGTGCATCGGGCAATGTGTGATGGTAATATTTCCCCACAGGCTATAGGGCGCAACTGCAATGAAATGCAATCTTTAAATCTGGGATGGTGTGACAACGTGGGTGATGTTGGGGTCATGAGCTTGGCATTTGGATGTCCTGATCTCAGAGTTCTTGACTTGTGTGGTTGTCTCCGTATAACAGGTACTCTAAGATATGATGGCTGTACTGAAGTTATTTTTATTCCATGGGATACAAACTGATCTCGACTAGTTGTTGGCTGATGTGTTAAGAATAGAGTAACGTGGAATGTGGATGTGATTGCTTCTGCAAGTCGACTGTGCTTGTCTTGTGTATTTATTTTCACTTAATGATTTTTCCTTTGAGAAAGTTAAGATGCTGCCTACATCCAGGAACATTGTCTGGTGATTTGGCCGCGATAAGTCACCTCAGGTGATCAAATAGATTATTGTCAACTGGGTCATGAATTTGAGATTCTTGATTGCCTGTGTTACCTGAAGTTGTCCACCAAGTCTTTATCCTTGCTGGGGCTCTACTCATCTAGCTTTCCTTTTCTCGTTTCCCTGTGAGGTTCTATGTAATTCAATATGCTGTTATATTGAATAATTGTTCGAGTAAGTCTTGAACGAGCACGAGAATTTTCTGTGTCCATCTCTATCCTTCAGTTATGCAAGATACTGCTACGGCATGTACCATTATTAAGCAATTTTCTACGCAATGATACCGTGTCAATGAGGAGCCAGTAAAGGAGCGTAAATATCACAGGGAGAGTAAAGAACTTGAGATTTTCTGATCACTATGATCGAACTTTACCTGAGAATCACATTGGAACTTCTGGACAGTCTTAGGTGTAGATTAAATGTGTGCATGTTCTGCTATTATCATCTGATTGCACTCCAAACTGTAGAATATTGATAGCACTTTGCCTTGCCTTGTCTTGATAACACATGGAAAACTCAATTGCTCTCTGTGGATCTTGACTTGTCATGATAAAAGATCACTCTGAAACTGATCAAAATGAGTGAACAGTGAAAAATTTCAAGTTATGGTCCTTCGCGAAACAAGCATGATAGATTTGCTTAGTACATTACAAGCCACCATGTCCTGCTCTTGATGTTTTCATACTTTTCTTGCAGATGACAGTGTGATTGCATTGGCAGATGGGTGTCCACACCTGACATCTCTTGGGCTGTACTACTGCCAGAACATCACAGACAAAGCGATGTACTCTTTGGCACAGAGTCGAGTGAAGAACAGGCCTTCCCTATGGGAGTCCAAGAATGGCCGAAGCGACGATGAAGGGCTGAAGAGTCTAAACATCAGCCAGTGCACGGCTCTTACTCCTCCCGCCGTTCAGGCACTATGTGACTCATTCCCTGCGTTGCATACTTGCCCCGGGAGGCACTCTCTGAATATAAGTGGTTGCCTGAGCTTGACGTCGGTGCACTGTGCCTGTGCTTTCCAAGCTCACCGCGTCCCGAGCTCGCTTCCATACCTAGCTCATTGATTCGATCGATGAGGTGAAGGTACACAGGGATGTGCTTCTTACAAAAGCGTAGGTTAGAGGAGAAAATGGTGTTGTGCCTCTTGTATATATGTGTCTGTTTTGAAATATAGACGACTCGGAAAACAGGTGTATTTCCGTAATGTTATTAGAGACTTCTTGTTGTCTTGGTCTTGACTCGTTTTGGAGTGTGTATAACTCGGACTTCTTGGAACGACGCTCTCGGGTCTTTCTCCTGTGTTTCTTCTCTACCTCTGTGTCTTGCTACAACAATGAAGGACAGAGGATTAGGAGCAAGAATCAGGCTTGTGCAGTCACTGAAACACGTCCCACGAACTCACCCTATGAACAAAATTTGTATCTTTGCTATTTGACTTCTATGCGTATAACCAAGTGAGCGTCCAAACGTTGAAGTTAGTATTCGACTTAAAATTATTGTGGCGCATAAAGGAAAATCAAATTAACTTCTATACCGAGTCCATGGTTCTGGGCCAGTTTCTTAATGCAGAATGACTTGATCCATGCGCCTGAACCGCCGAGAGAGTGTTGCAAATGCTTGGGTGATATAGAAAGTCATGCGGGTAAAAGTATATATATACTCACTGAACCCGCGGCTCAATAGTTAGGGAATTGAGTGGGTTGGGTATGTTTAGTTGCAGGTGTGGGGTTCCACTTTCACGCTTTGCAAAGAGAGCAAAAATCCGAGAGAGGGAGGACAAGTCAGAGTAGGACAGACACTATTACTCATCTCTTCCTTCCAATCGTTCATCCATAATATAAGCCATGTGCTTGGTGTGAGAAACACACCATCGTCAGGGTTTGATCTCGTGGGTATGATGCTTGCGGCCTGTGGGCACGCAAAGAGGAAACGTGATGGACATTGTCCTAATTTGAGCCACGAAAACGGTGGCTTCCACATGAAGAATTTAGACACAAAGATTGTTAATCTCGGAGATATCGTCCTGGGATTTGACCTTTTCTCTCTTGTGGGGTCAGAAACTTGAGATCTATATTCAGCAGACTAGTGTATGAACTAGGGAAAATTATCAAATCAGTCCTAAACTTATTGTCAAATCAATCGCCAGAGGCCTCGCCGGCCCTCCCCTCTGGCCGGCCGCCGGTCGCCGGACCGGCCAGAGGGGAGAAAGCAGAAAAAAAAAAGAAGAAAAAGAAAAAAAAAGATTAAAAAATTGAAAAAAATAATTAAAAATTGCCACGTCAGTCGGCCGGCGGCCACGTCAGCGCTGGCTGGCCAAAATTGACCGGAAGGACTCAATTGGCAAGAATTTAAAAGGTTTAGGACTGAATTGACAAACTTAAAAGGTTTAGGACTGAATTGACAAACTTAAAAGGTTTAGGACTGAATTGGCCGCCGTACAATAAGTTTAGAACTGATTTGACAATTTTCCCGTATGAACGATAATTTTCGAGAGGCCACTAGGGCCGTCTCAATCAAATCGATTTTAAGGATTCCTACGGACTTTTTTTTATTTTTTGTTTTTTGGTCGTGACCTACGGACTTCGTTGCGCAGAATCTTAGCGGTCCAGGATCCATCATAGCCTTGGTCAAAGGACTGATCGTTTTCTTTCCTTTTTTTTATGCCGCTACAAAATGCCTACCAATGTGACAATGACCTGGGATGCTGAAGAAGTCAATGAGCGCGGTATACATAGCATGACATTACTAATTCAGTCACGCGAGTGCTTTTGAATCTAATGATATCATCTGTTCCTAGCCCACTGAAAAACTTCTAAGCAATAACATCTGCTATGGTAGCACCGTTCATGCGGGCGCTAAAGCTAAAAGGTCCGACTTAGTTCCTTAATCGGGGATCGTTGTTTCCTGTTAGACTAAGTACCGGACTGGAACAGGATACAGTAATGACCGACGTAACCGGGACACATGGAAATCCTGTCACTGAAATGAAATACACAATAAGGTTCGGGGACTAATAGTTGAAATTTACTTGATCGAGTAACTTAGAATGCAAATACATAAAGCGTTGCGGTGATCTTCAGGTTGGAAAAATTGAGTGCAAAGGCCTCTCATGTATGGGTTAATCCATCCAAATCAACTCATAACAGAGTAATTTATATTGCGGACACTATAAGAGGCAATCATTACACAGAATCCACTGCCCAAAGAAAAGGTTAACCAATGGCACAAGTAGAGAGACAGAGGATTAACTCAAAATTGTTTGCAGCATGTTAATATGCTGATAAGTAGATCACACATGATTTACTTCTTGCCCTTTCTTTTTTTCCCATTCTTACCAAACTTTTTACTTTTAGCTGATTTGCTCTTCATATAGGATATTTTATCCGCTTTCTTCTGTCTCTCCTTCCGTACCTGTTCCAGATTCTTAATCTCTGAACGTATGTTGGCATTCGGAAGTGCCCGCTGCTTCTTTCCTCCCTTGAAATTTCTGGCCGCCCTTGGAAATTTGCGATCTCCTGCAGACAAACACATTTTAAACAGATCATCCATTAGTATATATTTGCTACTTGAAATATTGCGAGTTCCCATCAGAAGAGGAGCAAAATTAGAAAAGCAAAATCCAAGAAAAGGAGGCTTTGCAAGCGAAGAGGAAAAAACAAATTAAAACCAAGTTAGAAAGAACAAAAAAAAAATAAAGAGAAATGAAATGTTTATCTAAACTAACCATCAAAGGAGGAAGCGCGAAGAAGATGAAAAGTTTGAGCACATCAACAGAAAAGCCAACCAGAGCTCACCTGCCAAGCCAGCGGACCCTACAAAGTTTTCGTCGTTACTCGTTCCTTTCAGTGATATTTTGCTGTGTGACCGTTCTTTCCACTTCTTATATATTCCAGTTTTGTTTGCTTTCACCTTTACTCCGCCCTCAGTCTTTATCTGTGCAGCAATCATTACATACAAAAGAAAAAGAAAATCATATCTCTAAATTGATAAGCTGCACATGTAGAATGAAATCATTCAACAGAAATCCATTATGTTCGCATGTAGACCTACATTGAGGACTCCCTCTGGAGTAATAATTCTATCATAACTGAATACGTTGCTACACAAGTCACAATTCATCACAGAAAGAAAAAACTAATATTCCTCATCAAAACAAACTCATATGTAAGTAATCTTGCCCAAAGGCAAGGTAACCCTATGATTCCATATATTTAAACATGAAACTACTGTGATGAGGTTGGAAGGTACCTTTCCACTAGCTGTAACACGTTCACCATTGTTCAACTTGACATACTTTTTACTCCTCTGCCATCAAAAGAACACGAACAGAAAATAAACTCACATTATTCAAAAGAAAGAAGTCAGTGATCACGAAAACGGTCCGACTTATGTACCTTGTCCCAATGGTATGATGCCCTCTGCTTCTGAATGCCTCCACTGTCATCTGCAACTAGATCGAGGACAGCACTTTCCAACCTAGAAAAAGTAACAAATAGATAAAGCCCGCAGTGAAAAACTTACTAATCATAGCCACCAGAGAAACATGTCATGTAATAACATCATTAAAAAACTTGAAAAGGTTAATGGTAATCGTTTACCTATTTGATCCAAAGCCTTCATTACCTCTCACAGAGAGCCCTGACTCCATATGCTGCACAGTACATGGAGCAAATGATAGTTTACCATCCAGCCTTTAGGAATGCAAAATCAGATAAAATCCACCAGGAAGCACATTTCCTCAATAACATTACTTACATGGTTGGTCGGTATTGAACTGATATAGTACTCATCATCCTTGAAACTCCTTGACTTTCGTTTGGAACCGCGGGTCTCTAGCACCATGAGAAATTTTTTTAAGAAAAATGACCATTTAAAAGTCGAAGACATCATTACAAAATATTGTGTATGATATTGCGAGACCCAATAATCTGCTGACACTCAATGGCATAGAAATGCATGTCCATCTCATTCTTACCTTTTTTTTTTTTTGGTAAGGAAATCTCAATCTTACCTTTAACTCCAGATATTTGACAAATGCAGAATAAAATAATCCAAGGTAAAGATTACATTTGTAAACAAAAGGCAACAACACTTTAGAACCAAATATGTGGAAATAAAAGATTTGCAACGAATTTTTCTTTTAAGAAGTCTACTCTTCTTCCTTCGTCAACACAAAACTATCCAATAGCATTCACTCATATCCTTCTTCATTTCGTTAATCGTTATCCCACATGGAAAAGAGCAGGCAGGCAAATCTTAAACACTTAACCTCACAATCGTCTTTGGCAGGAAAAAAATCATCCCTTGAGTAAGAGGGAAAGAGACTGCATACATGTTGACAGAATGACATTTCTTAAATTTGAAAAAGTTCGTCTTCAAACATTAATAAAGGAACAAGACCAGAAAATCTGGAAGAAATATCTACTGCCTGAAAGCCATGTTAATATGGTCTATTTTCATCAGACCTGTAGGTCTTATGCCCAAACAGTTGCACCAACAAAAATATTAGAGCAATGGTATCAAAAAGATCCAAAAAAGAGAACCTTTTTTCTCCTTTTCCTTGGAAGAAGTGCTCACTGGAATGATCTGCAAGTTAACCAGGAAAAGGAGTTAGTATCCAAGTAAAGACCCTAAAAACTACCAGATATAAAAGAATAGAACTGCCTCATCATGCCAATATTTATCATATCAAGAAGGACATGTAATAATCTTCCCAAATTAACCTATTTGAGCCAGATTGCTTCAGGTCACCACCTTCCTTGACCTCGCGGCACATTGTTGTAATTTTTAGCAACATTTCAGCAGCACAACAACGTATCACATAGCTCAAGATCTTATTTTGACATTACGATGCCTAAGAGCACACATTTTCGGCTATTCAAACAGGCAGTACAACGGCATGTCCTAGGCTTTCGATTTTTTACTTTGGCATCACAATGGCATCTGATAGGGTACTCGAGGGAGACAATAGAGCGTGCAAGTTCACACATTTGTGAAACACAATTGAACTCACATCCATTTGGAGGAAAAAAATCCCTAGTTTTAACTCCCTGATGAAAATAAAAAAGAGAACAATTACACATACTACATCTTAATCACGAGAAGCTTTTGCTATTTAAGGGCAAACACTTAAAATAGCTAAGAGAATAAGCAAGAGCAAAAGATTGGTGTGGCTTAAGGAAAATATCGTGACATGGTCCGTTACCAGAAAGAAAAAAGCCTATGAGAACAGATGGTCCAAGTTTAATCCTCTAACTGATAAATTACATGAGCGCTTTTCTTAGCTACTACGCTCAT